TTGTGTATCAGTCACCTTTGGAGGATTCTTCCAAATACCCATAGGTAAAGGTAAAGGTTCCCCTTGACAATTTGTCCAGTCGTGTCTGACTCTAGGGGGCAGTGCTCATCTCTGTTTCCAACCCATAAAGCTAGTGTTTGTCCAAAGACAATCTTCCATGGTCATGTGGCCAGCGCAACTAGACACGGAACGCTGATACCTTCTCACTGTGGTGGTACCTATTTATCTACTCGCATTTTGCATTTTGCATGCTTTCGAACTGTTAGGTTGGCAGGAGCTGGGACAAGCAACGAGGCCTCACTCCGTCACGTGGATTCGATCTTAGACTGCAGGTCTTCTGACCTTGCAGCACAGAGGCTTCTCCGGTTTAACCTACAGCGCCACCACATCCTGTATTATCTATGAAAGAGATGGAGAATGTGTGGGATGCTCATGGATGCTCCCTCAAGAATAACTCTGCTGGCTAAGGCTTATAGGAGTCACAGTTCAACAATATCTGGACGGCCACACTTGAGGTGTGGTGCAGTCAATCCTTGCATGTGGATGCAAAGATTTACCCACAAATGACACACTGCACTGCAAGGCAAACCAGTTTAGCATGATCTAGACCAATCTAAGGCAGGAAAATTAGGCCGCATAGTCTCACCCTCTGTCAGCTACTCGAGAAGACTAAAGGATATGAATGCCATTGTCACTGAAGAAAGCAGCTGGATTAAAGGCACAAGAACATTAAATTGATGATATACACAGAAGCTAAAATGTGTTGATGCACAACACATTTAATTGAAATACAAAAAGCAATAAGTATGATTCAAAGTAGGCTGAAAATGAGGAAACTAGAAATTGAATTTTTAAATAGTGTAATGTTTGGTGTAAACAAACTAACAGTGACTGGAATAGGACGCAATCAGATAATTACAAAATATTTTGCTCAGGAAATAACAAACATAGTCACGACCAAAAATATTGGCACCCTTGCAATTCTGTCAGAAATTGCAACCCTTCTCTCAGAAAATTGTTGTAGTTGCTAATGTTTTGCTACTCACATGTTCATTCCTTTGGTTTGCATTGGAACAACACAAAAAACAGAGAAGAAAAGTCAAGTTTGATACAATCCCAACACAGAAACCCAAAAGTTCAACTGGCCAAAATTAATGGCACCCTTAACTTTTGATAGCACCCCCTTTGGAAAAAAATAACTGAAATCAGTCACTTCCTGTAAATGAATGAGTTTTTTACACCTCGCTACTGGAATTTTGGACCACTGCTCCAGGGCCTTCAGATTTGAAGGATACCTTCTCCCAATTGCTGTTTTGAGATCTCTCCACAGGTCTTCTATGGGATTCAGATCTGGACTCATTGCTGGCTATTTCAGAACTCTCCAGCACTTTGTTTATAACCATTTCTGAGTGCTTTTTGAAGTGTGTTTCGGGTCGTTGTCCTGCTGGAAGACCCATGACCTCTGGTGGAGATGGAGCTTTCTTTGAACCTCCACCATGTTTGATTGTAGGGACCGTGTTCTTTTCTTTGAATGCCTCATTTCTTTTTCTGTAAACAGCGCCATGATGTCCTTTACCAAAAAGCTCTACTTTTGTCTCATCTGTCCACAGTAAGTTCTCCCAGAAGGATTGTGGTTTTGTCACATAATTCAGATGGCGACGGATAGTGCGAGCGGACACTCTTGTACCGTGTCTGCAGATCAGCTTGAATTTGTTGGGAAGTTAATCTGGGTTCTGTATCCACCATTCGTTGTAATTTTTCAGTAATTTGGCTCTTCCGTGTGCCATGGGCTGTAAACCTCTTGATGATATTGTGCACAGTGGACACAGGAACATTAAGATCTCTGGAGATGGACTTGAGGTTGTCAATATTTTTCCACAATTTTTCCTCTCAAATCCACAGACAACTCTTTACACTTAATTCTTTCGTCCATGCTCAATGTCACACACAACACAAAGGTTGAGTCAACTTTTCTCCATCTTAACTTGTTGCATGTGTGATTACTCTATTGCCCACACCTATTACTTGTGACAGGCATATCTAAATACAAATTAAAGGAACATCACATGCTTGAAAAGCAATTATTTATTACAATTTAGACAGGGTGCCAATAATTTTAGCCAGTGCATTTTTGGGTTTCTGTATGGGATTGTATCAGATTTGACTTTTCTTCTCTGTTTGTGTGTGTGTGTGTGTTGTTTAAATGCAAACCAAAGAAATTAACATATGAGTACCAAAACGCATCCAACTACAACAATTTTCTGAGAGAAGGGTTGCATTTTCTGACAGAATTGCAAGAGTGCCAATGTTTTGGCCATGACTGTAGAAGAAACAGCATCATATCATAGTGAGATGAGAGGCAGCAAAAGCATTGGGGATATAATGCAAAGTCTGACCAAAAAATATCAAACAAACATCATGGAAAACCTATTGACATAACTATCATATAAGTCTATGCATCAACTACAGATGCTAAAGAAAGCTTTCATGTAAGTACCCAGAAGAAAATGTGCCTGGAAACAGAATGTGGTGACTGAAATGTAAATGCAGAAAATAAAGCAGAACCAAACATAATTGGAGAATTTGGCACAGGAGTCCGAAACGAAGCAAGAGAGTGACTCAAAAATTATGTGAAGCCAACAATTTGTTTATTGCAAATACATCCTTCAGAAAACTGAACAGACAATTGTACACATGGACATTACTTGCTGGTAAATATAGAAATAAAAAATATTATGTAACTTGGAGATGATATGCTATCTTTGCAATTGGACTGTGGTAGGGAACATGAATTGTTCAAATAAAAAAATTAGAGTAAAGTTGAAGAAAAATACTAAAACGTGCCAAATATAATTTAAACAGCATTCCTCAAGAATGTGAAGAACATATAAAAAGCAGAATTACATTACTACTCTCAACTGAATGTGAACCAAAAGAACTGTGGATTGAAACTACAGAGATTTGCAGTGAAGAATGCAAAACTATTCCTGTAGTCAATGGGAAAGAAAAATGATGATGGACTGATGAAGCTCTTAAACATGTTGATAACAGATGAGAAACAAAAGCAAAAGGTGATAGAAATATATTTCAGCCACTTGCACATAGAGACAATGGCCAAATCCCTTGCTCAGAATACTAAACGGCACTAGAGAACGGCCATTAAATCAACAGAAATTCCACTGATTCAAATGGGCTTACTCTAACTGCAACTTACTATACAAAGATAAGCATGACAGATTCCATTGAAGATACAATATATCCTTTGATGAAGAACCTGCAATTTGAGGAAGTAAAGTGAAAGCTGCTCTCAAATGACTTGGAAGAAATAAATCACTAGGAAAGTATAGGGTACCAAAAGAATTTCAGTCTATTCAACAATTTCAAGTTACAGAGACTTTATCAAAATTCTAAAATGAATATGCCAAAAAGTATGGAAGACAAAACAACAGCTAATAGACTAAAAATGTTTAAAAAAACATTCTAGACACAAGTCAACAAAGGCTGTAGTAATTTTAGTACCATTGTATTAATTTCCCTGGCAAGAAAAGTGATTTTATCAGAATTATTTTTATGGAGAAATAGATACCAGACATTAAGGATGAATTCAGAAAAGGCACTAGAAATCCTATTGCAAATGTACATTGACTATGCGAGCATACCAAAGAATTTCAGAAGTAAATCAATCTGTGCTTTATAAATTACAGGAGCCAGAATCCTACTGATGTTTGTATAAAGTTTGCATAACTTGCTGCAACTAATTGCAGCTAACTGATGAAGTGCCAGGGTATGTCTTGGTCACATGCCTGCTCAAGCACCCAAATGCTGAACCAAAGTGTGCCCTTACAATAACTTGCAGTTAGCAGTGGCAAGTAACATCACCCATACACAAACATCAGCAGGATTCTGCCAGTAAAGTTTTGATTATGCAGGTCATGAAAAGCTATGGATTTTTCTAAAAGAAATGGGTGTGCTACAACATTTCATTGTCCTAATGTGTAACCTATACTCTGGAGAAGAGGCTACCTACTGATAAGACAGAATATGAAGAAATAAAAGGATCTCCACCTTGCAGGGATCAGACAAGAGTATAAGCCATCTCCTTATCTATTCAATTTATATTTAGATATAAGATATATGAACATCTGGATTAGATTCAGCAGAAGGAAGAGTGAAAATTGGTGTCACATCCAGGTCACAATGAGGCAGCCGAGTAAGACTTGGGTGTGGGGGAATTACCATACTCTCCAAAGCAAATAACAAAGTATCAACCACAAAGGTTTAGATTTCTGTGGACAGGAAAACCAACTCTGACATCTGAAAAGTCCCAGTTCTGCAAGCAGAATAAGCTGTGCTGATCAAATGAAAGCTATATATTTTTTGAGTTCCTATTCTTGCACATGATTCATGTTTTAACTTGCTAGTCCAGTGGAAAGCAAGCAAGCAATGGAATACAGAATATGGCAAACAGCCTCCGATGGAACTGGATGGAGTTTAGAACTCTAACGCACTCTATAAAGAAAACTGCATAGGATAAATTCAGATACTGTCAAAGGAATAAAATAGTTAGTCAAGCAATCTTCTCACAGCAGTATGTCTCAGAAATCAAACCACAACCTAAGCCAGTGTTTAACTCCAGATGACCAATCATCAAATAAAAGAAACTAATCTAGGAGCTATAGGTGATCAGAAAAATTCATGGGGTTGCATCAAATGGCTTTTAACACCTAAGGAATGGTTAAGCCCTCCTCCTCAAATAAGTTAATCAGAATGATGAAGAGACTCCAAACAAACTGCTATAGAGAGCAGTGTAGAAGATGGGCAATTCCTAGAGTGTAGGGAATTGTCTCTTCTTCTAAAGAGCTCCCTATAGAATCTAGTACTGTATTGCCTAAAGAAACATACTATTGGTTCATCTAGCCTAGTTTTGTCAATTCTGACCGGCAGCAGCTCTCCAGGATTTCAGGCAAGATTCTTTCCCAATGTTACATGGAGTTCCCTGATGTTCTCTTATGCTCTCCTATACAAGTACTAATTCAACCCAACAATCTTCCTTAGCTTCTGAACTCAGAAGCAATTGGTGTGCTCAGGGTAGTATGATGAAAAAAACCTATATGGAACTGTCTCTTGAAAGTACACCTGTACTACCTTTATGCAGAGAAAGATGATACCTGGCCTCCATTACTGTTGTAAGGATAACTGGAATAAGGTATACAGAATGTTTTGCACATTTGCAATGTGTTTCTGACTAGATAATTGCTACTGTATATTGTGTTTTTACGCACACTTTGAAACTGTCACATTTACTTTACTATGTTGGCCATAGCACCTGCAAGAGAAAGAGGTAGATTATAAGGAAAAGTTTGTGTTTATTGTTGCCATGCTTTCTTTTGGACTGAATATAACAGCCTCAATCACACTTCTGCACTGCCAGGAAATCTGAAGCCTGCCAGGAAGCCCCAGTCCCTTGGCTCCTAGTAATCATGACTATAAATGTTCATTTGAAGTAAGATAAACATGCAATTGCAGAGACTTTGCTTCAAATACTGAAGTCTACCCTACATAGAAATCACACTGTCCCGACCAGCCCATTGTTCATGCCAAGAATATAGCAGGCCATTAGAGGCTTTAAAACCATTGGGATCCCATGGACAGTAAGCCCACTCTGCCCCACTTTCCGGCCAAACAGCACTGTGAGAATGGAAACCAGGGATGGAGGGAAGAGGGTAAATATAATTAGTAGATAAATATACAGGACTATTGTGACAGATATGGCAAAATCCCAGGGATTCAGAGCAGCTATGTTACAATCAGAAACATCACACATATACTCGAAAGATGTACAAGATTCAGTTTTATTCCAGTGGGGGAAGCAAATTGCCTCTGTGTTCCCATCTTTGCCATCTGTGGTCCTTTATTGCGACTTGTGAACTGCCTTTCCTTATAAATTCTCTCTAGGTTACTGAAACAAACAGCTTTGAAAATATCAAGAATTTAGAGCCAAACTAGACATGATATGCTGTCAGTCACATTCCTCTTTCTCTTGATTTTTTTTAAAGTGGGAAGTTGCCTTGGAAACTGCAATGGGAGAACAAAATGTTGGGGAAGAGGACTGCATTAATTCCAGATGTCTATCTACTCAGAACTGACCCTCTCAAACTGCTTTTTTCACCATGGAGAATACAATAGGGACTAGGTACCTTTCCCTCCATACCAGAAAGCAGAAGATTTTGCCTAGCATGATAGCTGGAGGAGGAAGGGTTAAGCAGCCTCTCTCCTCTCACCCTTTTGCTTCCTACTGCAGCCTTTGAGGACGTTTTCCATGTAAAGTCATTGGAGGAAAGAGACAAGGAAGATGATGTGACTTGAGTCACTTCAGGTTTGGTCTTTACAATTCAGTCTGCAAAACCATGTAGAACTTCATACTCTTCTGCAGACCTAAAAAGTGGTACGGGAGACTTAACTCTGTAGTATCAGAAAGTCACTGTATGCGGCATACATCTTAGGAATTTCAGGAAAAGAATGTTTCCATTTGCAAAGAATAAGCCACATATTTTTGCAGAGAGTTTAAAACTGGGAGCTTTCAGTACCTGAAGATGCACTTACTGTAAAATGACTCACTATCTTTATAATCAACAGTTTGTTGGCTGCACAGAAGCTCCTTTACATGGGATTATACTGAACTGTACAATAGATTGGACATAGTTGAACAGTTCATATAATTTCAATATGCCTCTCCCAAGGACTGCTTGGGAGGCTCCAGCAACCTGTGTTTGGAAAACATTTGACCAGATCCTGGAAGAAAGAAGAAAATGATATAATAACCAAACATGAATCAGGAATCACCAATGATAAAGGTTATGGTCCCAAACATTTTGTCCAAACATCACCAAAAGACTATTTCCTCTTTTTTTTAGCCCTGCCTGTTGACATGGCTATTTTACATAGTAGCTAATTAAAAACAGCAGCAAAGAAACCTCACGGGTCCTGACAATTATAACAATATCAAACCTTTGCATGACTCATCCTCTTGGACAAGCTGCTTGATTCCAGGCACCCTTGAGTGTGTATTTCAATCTGATTTTAGACCTGGTTGTGGCACAGAATTGTCTTTGTCACTTCAAAAGATGATTATGGCTGGGAGAAGAATATCAAGAGTGAGCAAGTTCAGCTGAACCTCTCTATCCTCTCAACTAAGGATTAGGGGAACAGTTTTCAACTGTGGGAATGATTCCATTGAAATATGGAGAACTTATTCTAGAAGGCAGCGCTGGGCATCTGCTGCTCTTACACTATAAGTTCCTGTAGAATTCCATCCTGGACCACATTATCTGTTCTATTTTTTTAATAGTCACAGCTGCTGAGTGAGGTCATTCTGGGACTTAGAGTGAAGTGACACTCAACTGAAACATATTTATCTTTTCCAGCTTATTTAGGTGAGGCAGTAGAAACTATTAAACTGGTATCTGGGATCAGTAATTTCATGATTTCATGGGGCAACTAATATCCCTATTCCCTGTACCATCCTTTCCTGTTTTAGGTTTATCTGCAACCATAATTGATTAGTGAGTTCCAATGATCACAACAGTGCTTAGTCACTACTGTATATAAACAGTGACTCAAAATCTCAGTTTAACTGATATTTCCTATAGAATGGTATGACTGTAATAAAACATTTCCACATACTGGTTTCTTCCACACTAGGACCCTAAGTGCTGGTAAAGCATAGTTTCCCTACTTCAAACTGGAAGTAAAATTAAAACAGGAGCTGCACAGAATGTTTAATATAGCACTAATTCTATATTATCAAAAGTCACATTTGTTCTTTTCACACTATTGTCTCCCTGCAAAATACATGAAAGCCACACCTGCTTGTTACTTGTTCACAGGACTCTCTCCAAATGTCAGATCATTGGTTCTTCTTGGCTGGTTGTTCAGCCGTGAGATCACCAGCAGGTCTTGCAAGCAGTGTTGCGTAACCACTGGCCTTTGTGCAGCCAGGTGAGCATTGTAGTATTTTCTTGGCCTGTGGCATGAAGCACTCCTGCTGCCCAGAATTTCTCTTGGAAGGGAAGCACTTTCTGCATAACAGCAAAAAACAACAACAACAACAAAAGCAAAACAAAACAAAAAAACCCACCATTTACATGCTGTACTTTAACACTCCTAGCAGCAATACACTAATTCCCTTTTCTTAAGTCAAAACGTGAGCCTGTTTATGCAGCTGGGCTGGAGCAGGCCAAAGAGGGTCATTAGAAGGTCTGGTATGTCATTTAATGCAATCCTCACATCCAAATCATTTGGATGTCATTTAATGCAATCCTCACAAACCTCAACCAACCCTACTTGGTCCACAGCAGCCTGCTGTCAATTTGCCAATATCATGAACTGGCTTAAACAGAAAGCCTACTTTGGCAAATTAAACATTTCTTTGGCTCCATGGAGAGGCCAAGGTAGTAAAAAAACACATTTAAAGTGTGTATTAGAATATACGCTGCAGCACTTTAAAAACAGTATTAAGTATGTGTATTTACAAGTTAGTTATGTGTATTAGGGCGTGGACTCACTTCCCTCTATTACTATCTCCATGCAAGAACTGGAGGTTGTTCATGAATTTGTGTACCTTGGCTCAACAATCTCTGACACTCTCTCCCTAGATGTCAAGCTGGATAAACGCATTGGCAACGCAGCTACCATGTTCTCTAGACTTACAAAGAGAGTATGGCTTAATAAGAAGTTGACGGCATACACCAAAATCCAGGTCTATAGAGCCTGTGTCCTGAGCACACTCCTGTACTGCAGCGAGTCCTGGACCCTTTGTGCATGGCAGGAGAGGAAGCTGAACACCTTCCATATGCGTTGTCTCCGACACATTTTTGGTATCACCTGGCAGGACAAAGTTCCAAATAGAGTAGTCCTAGAATGAGCTGGAATTTTCAGAATGTATACAATATTGAAACAGCGCCGTCTACGTTGGCTTGGGCACGTCGTGAGAATGGCTGATGGTCGGATTCCAAAAGATCTCCTGTATGGAGAATTAGTGCAGGGAAATTGCCCCAGAGGGGGACCACAGCAGTGATACAAGGATATCTGCAAGTGTGATCTGAAGGCCTTAGGAATGGACCTCAACAGATGGGAAACCTTGACGTCTGAGCATTCAGCCTGGAGGCAGGTGGTGCATCATGGCCTCTCCCAATTTAAAGAGACACTTTTACAGCAGACCGAGGCAAAGAGGCAGTCCCGAAACAAGCAAAACCAGGGAGCTGGACAGGGGACAGATTGGATTTGTCTTCAGTGTGGAAGGGATTGTCACTCTCGAATTGGCCTTCTCAGCCACACAAGGCACTGTTCCAAGACCTCCATACACAGCACGATACCATAGTCTCTGGAGACTGAAGGATGCCTACATATGTGTATTAGGTATACATAACACCTGTAGCTAATTGATAATGCACATACCTAATACAGTACTGCTTTTAAAGTGATGCAGCACATATTTGCTGCTCTAATACATCCCTAAAACTGTTTTCACTTCCTCAGCCCCTCCACAGAGCTAAGGAAGTGTTTAATTTGCCAATATAACAAAATGGATCTCTTCACAATACTGGCAATAACAGGAGTCATCTCACTGTGGTTCATTTCCAACAATCATGCTGGAAACAGACCAAAAGAGCAATCCTATTGGTACCAAAAAAGCAGACGCCCCTGACAGGGGCCAATAACATGCAGGTGGGCTGGTTCACTCCAACAAACATGTCATCTGATCACTGTCTTTAAGAGCAAATCAGCAGGTCCCTGCAGTGGACTAAACAGTGAGCTAATCACCTATGCAGCCAGCCTCTAAATGAATGAATGGTGAGAAATGGGATTCTACTATAAAACCATTGTGAAGAATGTGAGGACCCTATTCCTGATTGATTCCTCATCACATTCTCTGGCAAATCCCCCTATTTTCAGCCAATCTCATCCCTTTTTACCTGCAGAATCAGTGTTGACTCCTGTTTTTGTGATCTTCTGGTAAGAGGAGCATGTCTGCACAATGTAATTATCAAAGAAAAAAGGAAGACTACATGCTACTGCAAATAGCATGTTAATGCAACATAAATTTCTAATCTGCAACATCTGTGTAGCCCTCCTTCTCTTGATAGCCCAAACTATGAAAGCAAAGATTCACGGTCAAGATCAATCATATAAAATCTTCTGCAGATAGTGAAGGCACACAAATATTGCAGACTGACCAATTATAACAACATTCAGTGAAGGTATAAAGACTTCCTTACTGAATTGCTCCCTTCTAACACACTATGCCATTCCACCCCCATATAACTCTGCTATCTACAGGCGAGATACAATTGCCCCCACAAGCCCACCATGTAGAGTCCTGCTTAACAGAAAGGTGGCTGCTGTTGGTCTATGCAGAAGTCTCCTGGACTGTGGCCATATAGCTGAAGGCACAGGGAAGGAGTGAAAGCTCATCATGGGAGCAGATCTGCTTTTGGCCATGTGAGGAGGAGGAGAGGGAGAGGAGAGCAGCCACCACAAAGTGCAAAGTATCCGCCAGCCCAAGCTGCAGAAGTGATTCATGCTTTGCTGGTTGAAGCCTCACAGCTGCTGCTGCTGCTGCTGATACCACCAGCACTACCTCTAACATGTCCATAATCAGATCCCCAAACTGGTGTACTTAAGGTACTGTCTCCCACTCCCTTGTTCCTTCTTCTCATCATCTTTCCTACCTTCTATCTCTAACTTGCTTATCTGCTCTCCTTTCTTCTCTTCCTTGCCTTCCACCGAGCACAGTCAATACTTCCTATCTGTCTCAAGCCAGTGATTTCTGTGTCCTCTTCCCTTCCTTGTGGGGTGATGGTGGTCTATCTTAGTGTCAGTTACCTCCTTCTTTCCTTACTCTTAGTTGGCATCAGTGCCTGTTCTGGGGCTTTATCAACCAGTGTAAAACCCACTAAAGAGAAGGAATGTCCTGTAAGAGCTAGTTGAATCCAGGCGAGAAAAGCTATCATCATGACAATGTGATATGTCTGGTGGGGTATATACGTACCTACTGCCATCATCACCACATAAAGGTGTCTAAGTGGAAATTCCAGGTCTAGGGGATGGCTGAGGAATAAGCTTTTCAGGTACTCCCCCCTCCCCCTGCCTTAAAGCTTCTTGAGATATATTGAGCCATCCATCATATCATATTGGAGCAGCAATATGAGTCATAGTTACAGCTTTAAGACTTAATTCATTAGTAGATACATAAATTAAAAATTTAGGAACAGATTAATGTTCCTCTCTGATTAAATGGTGGGACCAAGATCAAATACAGTAAATCCTTAAAAGAGATCTCATGCTACAGACCATGCTAATCTACATCCTTCTTTCTTTCACACACAAAGATGGGTCAAAAAAGTTAAATTTGTTACTTGTATTTAAGTTCAGTTTACTTCCCAAGTAAGCAATTCACAATGAAGTCAAAAAGTGGGCCTGTATGCCTTTCTTCCAATTATATCATTATCTAATGACAATGACCACAAGCAATCAAAGATATTAGTACATAGCTAAAATCAGTATCAACAAAATTTTTAAATCTAATTCGTCAAGGACTAGGACCTTAAATTTGTTTAGGTATTTGAAAGACATTTTAATTCTGGTCTATTACTGTTTATCCCATAGTCTCATGCATTGTGCTAATATAACAATGAGCTTTCTTTCTAATAATATGCTCTGTTGTTTTAAATGTGTTTTAGTATTGATTTTATTACTATTTGTAATGTAACATTTGATTATTTCTTTTTTAATATTTGCATACCTACTGTTTTTAGCTTCTACATGTTGTCCTTTTATTGATGTAAGCTACCTTGTATTCTTTTTAAGGAGAAAGGTGGGATAAAAATATTTTAAATAAATAAATAATAAATGTGGTGGCTTTTATCTGTTAAAGTACATGTTTTTTCACACCTGTTTTTCAGCCAGTAATTTGAAATCCTCAAAATATTAAACTAAGATTTTGCATATGAATTCAAAATGTATATGCAATGAAATATGCCTGTTTAAATACTTAATTAAAAGCCAGATGAGTCAAAGGGCAGATCAAATACAGCTCTCTACTACAGTTTACTTTTGTGATTACAACATTTAGGACATACACTCTTCCCCTTGCAACCTCTGGCATAATGAATGGAGATCAAAAAACCCCACTTTCATTTTCAAATAAACTAGAGTTTCCTGAATTTTAACGTAACAGACAATTTTGATTGAAAAGAAGAAGAAAAAAATTCTGACCACCTTCCCAGAGCTGTAATAAAACAGAACAGGGAATATACAAGGCTAAAGGCTGTCCTGTTTCATAAATGCAAATGTCAATCCAAGATTAAATGACCACTTGTCCAATCCAGTCAGTATCCAAAAATTGGCTGATCACCCAACCACAATTCCTACGTCCCTAACACTGGAGGCTGGTCTATTAGGGCAAACTGGACACTTCCCCTCAGGTTCAGGCTATTCCCCCCCCCAACCAGTTCACTCCTGCTTATCTTTTTATCAGAGGTAATAGATAAGGCAGAGGTCTTCATGAGTGGGGAAGATCTCCCTAAACTGGACTCCCCTATTCAATCCGTGGCTCACCTCTGTGACCAAGATCCCACCTGTGTTCCCCTCCTGCTTATTTCCCAGTCTCACACATTGTGTAAGTGTGTGGGGCAAAAGGGTGGCGGGGAACCAAGAGTGAGAGGGCAACTGTAAGTGGATAAGTCAATTGCCAACTTTCAGACAGGCAGAGAAAAACAGCTGCAGCTAGGAATATTTTTAATTTGGCAGTATGCCATATTTTTCTACTTTTTTTTGGCTGTGAGTGCATAAATGGGACTGAGGTCAGGCAATGACTCAATGCCTGTTACTGAAGATGTGCAGTTGCCTGCTTCTGGATATGTGCAACCACCTCGGTTCAGGCTATTGTATCTGGCTGTGGAGCCAGAGGTTAGGAGTTCAATTCCCCACTGTGCTTCCTTGGCAGGGGCTAGACTTGATAAACCACTGGGTCCTTACAGATCTGCAGTTCTAAGGTTCTTCCTATTATTAAATGCCTGCCTTCTTGCTTGTGTGTGTGTTTATGAATGAATACGCAGTTTTGTCCCATCTGTGCCTGTCATCGGCTGCAGTACCTTCCACCCTGCATCTGGACACCAGCTGCCACTGGCAGTACACAGAAAGGCAGGAGCTCTTTCCCTTAGGACCCTTGCATCCAAAACACACAGCCCATATTAGGAATGACGATTACACTGCTGGAGCATCTCGTGTGTCTGGGTATTGTGGTTTGGAAAGGCTGAAGAGAAAGCACCAGTCTCTCAAACCCAAGAAATAATATGTGGAAATCTAAAGCCTAAATCAAGGAGGGAGCTCTATCCAACATCATATTCTGACCCTTCTGTTGCCTCATTAACAATCTACCCTCCATCTATGACAGATGGATAAAAGACTTTGAAAACAGGATGCCAAGAATATGTCACTCACGCGCTCTGTTGGTGAGATGAAGAGACTGCTGTTCCAAGAGAAGCCTGATATCTCTCTCCATTGGTCCATAATTCATCTTGCTGAAGAATTCTGAGACCAAGATGCATTGTTTTTCTTTGTCAGTCTCGGAGAATTTTGTTCTCATCTTCTGAAGAGCAGAACATGAGGAGGCTGTTTTTCCTCTAAGACGAAACCGGAAGGACTCTTCTCCAAACGGGTGAACGCTTTTAATAGTTGGTCCTTCACAGCAGGTCATGCATTTTGCTTTTGGACTCCTTGCACAGAATTGGTTCATTGCTGGAAAATGTTTGTGATGGCATGGGCTTTGTTTACCGCATGCTTTTGTAAACCCATCCGGTGGCTGGAGCTGATAAGGGAGTGAAGGAAGGTCTGTCATACAGTCCCTGCTCTACATGCCTGATAAACTCACTCTCAGTTGACAAGAGACCCAGGGGCTGCCGATATGGTTCTCCCACTCAGATCTAACACTATAACTAATTTTAACACAAGAAGGAATGGTATAAAATTCATGCTGCTGTTTAATTCAGGATGACTGCAAGTCACAAGAGTGGTCACAAGAAAGAAATTTTCCTGTATTGTGTATAAGTGGAAATTTCAGGAGACGTTTGACATGTAAGCTATACCTGTTGGGATTCCCACTTCCACACAACCATCAAAAGTACAAGAGCTTTATTCTCTTTTCCATAAGGATAGCCAATGAACATTTATATCCAGACATATTAGAAATAACATAAGAAGAGAAGTTCTTGTAGCCAATTTGAAGTCCTGAACCTTTTCATGTTTGATACAGGGGTCTTCCAAAAGTATTGCCCTGCTTTGTTTACTGCATTTTACTGCTATTACTGTTTTATCACTGTCGTTACCCACCTTAAGATGTCGATGAAGAATGAAAAGCAAACAGAAAAAAATATTACATCCAAGTAGTACAGTACTGAACTGAGACAGTACAATGAAAACCCTGGCCCAACAGCCAGGGTTGTTGCTGAGATCATACACAGCAGTGACTAATACAAATGATTTTGTGTCACTTACTCTAACTCTAATCATAGAATCATACTCACATCTGTTATAGAAGGATGGTTGCTAATAGTGTTCCTCAGTTCTGGACTGGAATTATGCTGCTCCGGGGTGGTGGATGAATCTTCTCTGGTAAGATCAGGCACTGAGCTGTAAGGCCTCACAGGTTGTTCTTCAGGGGGCTCTGAGCAGTTGTTTGTCCCATTGCTCTCACACTGGGCGATGGCATGAGAATCACAAGCCACTTCTGTCTTGGGTTCCTGCACATCTGAAAAATTGTCAGGTAGGAAGGCAGTCCTAGGCCCAGTTTCTGAACAAACCTAGGTTGAACAGGGAGGAAAAACGGTGGGTGGCCAAATATGAAATTCATGTGTGCACATCCACGGATGTTGATTGTGTGTATGCAACAACATCTGGAAAAGAAACTCAGTTGGACTACAACTGACATGCATGCTGACTGGAACATTTTTCTGATATGTTAACTCAAACCATGTTGCATAGGACTGGAATGCACGGCAAGCAGATGAAGCATTAAAGGCATTAAGACACCTTGGAGGTTTACAAAGACCTGCCCAGCTGCAGATGAAAACTTTATATGTTCTAACAATTATTGCTATTAATAACAAATTAATTAATTACATAATACAACTTGTTTGTAACTTGGTTTTAAGAATTTTTTGTTTTTAAATAATCTGACCTGATTTTTTGCAACTATATACAAATTGAAATGATCTTATCTTGTTCTGCAATACAGTTGTTGGTTCAAATATATATAAAAATATATAAAAATGTATATTTTTGCATTGAAAGTATATACATATGCATATTTTAAGATAAAATGCATACAAAATATAAATGCAAATTGGTAGGCATTTAAAATAGTCATATGCAAAAAAAACCACAGTCTGTTGTTTGGACAGATCTACAAATGCATGTGAAACTACTGGGGATCAATGTCAGAGTAAGCCATCTACTTCTAACTAACCCCTAAACACATTTAGCAGCATTTGCTCACATACATAATCTTGCCCCTTGCCTCTGTCATTTGTTACCTTTATTTATTTATTTATTTTATTTATTTATTTATTTATTTAATTTTATTTATTTATTTATTTATTTACCGCCCATCTAGCACGTATCTACTCTGGGCGGTTTACATATAGCATAAAAATAAACTAAGGTAAAATCCAGATTAACCCTTGCCTCTTCCTTTCCTACTACCCCTGTAAAAATGTAGATTGCAAACTCTTGGTTTACGTTACTCTGCAAAGTGATACATACATTAACAGTGGGATTCAACTAACAAATCAAAATACAATGCAGGTAAGAAGAGAGGTAATACAGGAACACATTAGCTATCAGGATGGGGTAATGGAGAATCAGGTAGCAGAAGAAAATGAAAGAGAATCAATCAATATGATAGAGAGGAGATGGATAGACTGGATTTCAAGTTCTGCTCTCTGAGCATTGGCTGTACTGTTTGAAGCTCATGGGTGTTGTGAGTTTTTTTAAAAAATCTGAAAAACCACCAGGTCGCTTACCTGTGACGTAAGAAGATAAAAGAAGCAAAGAAGTACATTGAAAGTTGAAGTCAAGTCAGCCACTCAGCACAGTGACTGGCTATGGGCAAATTCTTCTCTTTACTATGACAGAATAACCCCATGGGCATCATCATGAACTTCATTTATACAAACTCTTTGAAAGAGGGAGCTGATTATATGATAAATAAATACAATAAACCTGAAAATAAATTTGCTCTGGAGCATGGTGCAATGAGAGTACTGTATAAGAAAGTGTGGACATGATAATATCATGAGAGAGGCAAAGTAGAGGATTTTCAGTTGACAAAAAAGATGAAAGATGCAGCAGAAAGGAAGACCTACATGAAAGAAGTTGTTATAATTTAAACAAATGCATATGGTGGTGGGGCAATTGCTTTTGTTTGGTTTGTTCCCCCCCCCCGGTTTTGCTCCAAGAACTGGATTCATTATCACCTGGTGTAGGGCCACACAGCTGCATGGACGCACATCATAATACATTCCTATCGAAATGGGTCAGATTTAAATTTCTCCTCCCTGCCCAATGAGATTGAGGGACTGCCTATATGGAAGTGAAAGTCTCTCCCATCCTTCCGCTAAATTACTGCTTCCAAACCAGCACTACTGGCAGGAAAACTGCAGCCTTAGAAGTCATGAGACACTGCTTCCCATTCCACCTGTTTGTAGGTCAGCTGATCAGTGGGAATGAGAAGAGAGGTGTTCATTTTGGTGGCCACACGGGCAGTGGGCTCCAGTACTGGAGGGTATCCACCCTGCTTTAAAAGAAGGTAAACAATGAATTTTGAAGCTTCTGGAAAATATGAATTGACAGAGGGCAACCACGTCCTATCACCCTACTGAGTGGATTTAGTATCATAAAATTATTAAATAATGGATTTGGATGGGGCCTATAAGGCTACTGAGTCCAACCCTGCTCAATGCAGCAATTGAAGTTAGAGCAGATAAGACAGATGGCTGCCTAGCTTTCCTCTTGAATGCCTCCAATGTTGACTTGTATGGGAGCAAGACTTGACCCAGTCACACTTGTTTAAATCCATTTATATCAGCAGAATGCAGCTTAATCCAAAGACAGCGTCTGGATCACTGTAATTCATTCACAGAAGTAGAATTAAGAATCAGTTTTCAACTGATTTTTCCACTTCTTCAGAATTGCCCGTTGCCAGCAGAAATATTTCCCTCCGTCCTACCTGGTCAGGGACTGGCGCCATACTTGCTCTGCTTGCCATCTTCTGCCTGAAGATCTTGATTTTTTCTCCACTAGATTCTCCCTGAAGTTCAACCTTCTTCTCTTTCAGCAGAGCCACTTTTTGCTCCTTCTTGAGACGCAGCTCCTGGAGCTGCTGCCTATTGATGACATTGTAGAAAAGAAGTTATTGCAACTGAGACAGAGAGGGGACTGCACTGCAGGTCAAATTCAAATTGCCTCAGTTCCAAAACCCCGTCCTTCAGGCTTCGTCAAAATGACATCAAATTAAAAACTATAAAATGGATTATGCCTCAGAGCCAATGGGTGAAAAATCCTTCTGACAGTTTGTCCCAAATCATCTCACAGAATTTTATGCAGAGGGAGAGAAGGGTTTGGGTTTGTCATCTTGTTCACAGTAAATGGTTAGCTAATCCACCCTTAACGTTAGCCCCAAATTCAAGAGCTGTTTGTTCCTGTCAAGGTTTACTCCTGAGATATATGATGCATCTACAAAACAAAAAGGGCACACAGAGCATGCTTCCTTTCACAACCACAATCAGGCTCCTGCAACCAGAAGAAAAATACCAAGGCACCAAATGTGTCTTTAGCCAAAAAGCCATTTTAGGAAAAGCCAGTCTTTGCTATGAATGTCTAGCCTTGTTGAGTGTGCACCTCAGGAGACAGCCGGCAGACAGACAGATACTAGCATGTTTCCACACAACACATAATCTATGTACAGAACCCATCAGTGCAAGGAGTGTCCAGTAGCACTGCTGGACTAAAAATGAACATGTCCAGTTGCCATGACAGATCAACAGAACCTCCATGTTCAGAGGTAGCATCCCTCTAAATGCCAAAGGCTAGAGACAAACAGCAAGAGACCTGCTCATCACTATTGAGAGAAATCCGGCGATGGCTGCTGGTGGAAACAATATACTATTCTCAACAGAACTTGGTCTGGCCAAGGAAGGTAGTTTCAGACATCCTTAGGGGTTCAGTCAGACACACACACATCTCTAAAATATTACTTTGATTCTAATTCCCAGAATTCTTCAGTTAGAATGACCGGAGTGTTCTGTATCAGCAGGTTTACTACTACTACTACTACTACTACTACTACTACTACTACTACTACTACTACTACTACTACTACTACTACTACTATAATAATAATAATAATAATAATAATAATAATGATGATGATGATGATGATGATGATGATAATATGCAAAGTAAAGTGGTCAGTTCTAGAACCCCAAACCATAATCAAGTCTCATTTCATCTTTCTCTGTCACATACACTCCCTACATGCTCTACTGCTACTCTCTAGTGACTGTTCACAAATGAAGAAAATACCTGCAAAAGCAGAGAGAACCCCAGAAAAAGGTTGGTCCTGATGGAGCAAAGCTCCAGTAAAAAGAGTTACTTCAGAACAAATGGCTTGAGTTGTTGTCCAGATACTGCAAGGCCAGATCTGACATGAACAGTACCATTAGACTGCCTCTGTGTTTATTCGTTCTTCCATTTTGTTCTATGGAGCACTGTAGTGCTACGGGGCTTCCTATGGCACATTCAGTTCTCCATCTTTTGGAAACCTTTAATTTTATCTCAATACAGTCTTAAAATTACATATTTTTAAAATAAAAATAGTAATTTAAAATACTATCAAATGCAAAGCTGAAGCAAAGGAATAGATTTGTAGGGATCTCTTTCCTAGAAAAACGTGGTGGCGCTGCGGGTTAAACTGCAGAAGCGTCTGTGCTGCAAGGTCAGAAGACCTGCAGTCGTAAGATCGAATCCACACAACAGAGTGAGCCCCTGTCCCTTGCCCCGGCTCTTGCCAACCTAGCAGTTCAAAAGCATGCAAAAATGCAAAATGCGAGTAGATAAATAGGTACCACCACAGTGGGAAGGTAACGGTGTTCCGTGTCTAGTCACACTGGCCACGTGACCATGGAAGATTATCTTCGGACAAATGCTAGCTCTATGGGTTGGAAACAGAGATGATCACCGCCTCCTAGAGTCAGACACGACTGGACAAATTGTCAAGGGGAACCTTTACCTTTCCTTTCCTAGCAAAGCATTTTTTGAAGACACGACTTCAGTGCAGTGCAGAAACAAAGCACAGGAAGCTCTGGTCTCCTTTGGGACAATCTGTATTCATTTGAGGTGGAACCTTTGTCTGTCTGGTCAAGCTCAGTGTTACTTTTGCTATGGCAGTTTTGGCGGAATAATAAGGACATCTCTTTTTTCTCCATGTAACAAGAACTGTATGTAAGAAGTGTTACATTTTAGTGTAATAAGTAACAGTGGTGTGTTGTCCCTGAAACACTGCTTTTATGAGATCTGAGGGGCATTTTCCTACTTTACTAGGTAGTTCCAATAGTATTATTATTTTAAGTACTGTACCTTAAAAGTAATAACCTTAATTACATGTTACTGAAACGTTACCCTGTAAATAGAGAGTAATACATCTTTAAAATAAAAAATAATGAATTACTTTTGAAAAATCATGCTCCAACTCTGAGTAGATTCGTTCCTTAAGATGTCATGTGCATTGTTGTCAATGTTACGATAAGGGTAGAATTACTATAAAATATCCAAGAATCCAGTTCATTCTTATGAATGCTGTACATTGTTTACTCATCTGTGTTTCATCCTCCTTTGTTCTTGCGTTTTTTTAAAAAAATAACCTTCACTACAAGTAAAGGTTTTTTAAAGATCTTTATGTCTCTTATTTAGCCTGATTTAAAAACCTCCACCTTACCTATTCTAAAATTCCAAGGATTTTTTACTATTCTGTATTAGGCTTGTAGAAGTTCTGGAATCTAAGTGACAAAGCACAGACACAAGACACAGGTGTCTTGTAACAGTGCACAGAATGCACAGAATTTGCAATCACACACCACTGTGCAGCTCTCTTCATGACTCTTGCAAACAACCATACAATGAACATTGACTTGGCTTACTTGTTGGCTACAATTTGACATGTGTAGCAAAGAACTTGAAGAAATGGAAAATCTGTCACGTTGCACTGGGCTATGGAGGAAAGAGAAGCAGCACAAGCCTGCTGCCTCCTTCTGCCAGCTCAGCATATAAGAGGCTCCCTTCCCTAGAGGTGTGGGCAGGAGAAATGGGTTTTCTCATATTATAATAATTGTAAAGGAAGAGGGTTAATTGCCCTTGCAAATCAAACTGCAGACACTTTACCAGTTACATTTTATTTATTTATTTTAAATATTTTTACCCCAGCTTTTTCTGCAAAAGGACCTAGAATCCAACTCCTTTGGGGAGTTGGATACTAGGTTCAAACATGAAGTCTAGTGCATGGTTAAACCTAGTATCCAGGGGATTATGGAAAATCAATTCAAATGCAGCCATTTGCAACCTAAATGCACTGCTAGATCCTGATTTTGGGGTGCTCTCAGGGAAAATACTCTAAATCAGTCCTGCTACCTTCCTGAGCCCATTTTTTCCTTGCCATTGTCAATGCTGCCTATTCACTTGACATCTTCCTCCAGCTGAACCAATTATCTTGTGATAAAGCTGCTGAAATTCAGATTTTAATAGTGTGCTGATTCGACTGACATTATTGCTCTCATAACACCTGTATGTATACTGAGTTTGCACAGTTATGTAACAAATCCATAGTATTTTCAATATTAAATGTGAGACTGGTAACAGGACGACAACTATGTTCTGCACCTGCACAGTCTACATAATTAAATACTGTATCTAACTTTGCCATTTCTGTGCACACCCTTCATGGTCAAGGTTTATATATTGCTCATACAATGACATCACTTTAATTTCAATACTTCCAAACCAATCATTGTAAACGTTTGGATATGAAATACAGTATTTCAACCAACCAATCACACTGGATTAAACAGCCACATACGTTAATAGTCATGTTTTGTTCAGTGTTCCTTTCTCAGGGTGTGACTACAATGCAATTTACTCTTTTGTGCCAGACCTAGAACAGTTAAATTTGGTGTATTTTCTGTCAACTATTCAAGCCAACTGTGAATAAACATCGATTTTTGCTTTCCCTGCCACAGGCTAGTGGATTATTTTGTACCAATTCCATTCACATCTCATTATTTTGTACCAATTCCACTCACATCTCTATCTTTCCATTTTTGGCATGCGTGGCTGCCTATATCAGTCCAAAGAGGCAATGGCAGATATATCCTGGGATGGTATTTTGGCAATTGACATAGGTCTGAATTGATATAAAAATTTATGAAACTGCAGTGCTTATCTGATGTAGCATTATACTGGAAGAACAGAATAATAAAAATTGTTCAGAGGATAAACAAGAGCACTCACTTGAGGGGTATGTTCCTAGCACACTGGCATATCATACGTTGATGAAGGGTATGCCAGTATAGCAGGAAAATCTTGTCTCTCCAACAAACAATTTTGTTTTATTCTGTTCTTCAGCTATTCCAGTATAGTCGAAAAAGTACTGTAGTTTCACCAGCCATTATATCAATTCAGACCTACTGCTACTTGCCAAACAAACAAACAAACAGAAAGAGTTTGGGAAAAGGGTGGTATTAATGACAAAGAGGGAAGGAATCCTTTGATCCAGTTATAACTGTAGTGATCTGAGGTGTGGTGTGGATTCTCAACCGCAAAATTGCCCAGAATAATTAAACATTCTTTGTGAACAACAACAATGATATAACCACCATGGGAAACTTTGAATCAACCAAGAACACCCCTCCTTGTCTTGCCACATCCTCACTTTCTTTTTTGGTTTCATTTATGTATTGGCTACTCAGCAAGTTTCTCAACTCTCTCAAATAAACGCAATAGTTTTCAAGATACAATTTGTTGATATGCATGTGCTGCAATTCACAGGTAAACAATTAGATAAAAGAAAACAGAAGTATTTTCATTTGAGATTTCACCAAGAATTTGTAAATGGGTAAGCAAATTATGATTTCTATACAGGCAAATATGAGGAGGGTGCTCTACTCCCTCAACTCTGGCTATTGTTTATATGCCAGTGGGGCCCTTGAAGGGTTGTGAGCCCTGGTAATCCCTGGGACCAGTCCTGCTCAAATTAATTTGAAAGGCAAATCACCTGGAAGTTGTCCAAACACACATATATACACACACTTATCAGAAATTAAATCTGTGGAATTACCACAAAGGATTTGAAAGGCTAGAATTGTTGTTCTCAGGGCTGAATACCGTGGGGGCTGGCCTCTGGTATTTTGCTGCCTGAGGTAAAGTAGCAAATGGTGTTGCCAATGGCAGCTAGGTTAGCCTGTATTTCTCAGTACATCCCTAGCATTAAATACAACAGCAAATTAAATCACCATATTGTGCCTTATAATGACACCCTAAATCTGCTGCTTGAGGAGATAGTGTTATTCTACCTCATAGTACGACCAGGTTGGATGATTTCGGGACATTGAACTGCACAATGAGAACAGCTTTGTTCTCAATGAATAGTTCCCAATCTATACAGTTAGTAAAGGAAGATAGTTCTATAAACAGAAAGTAAATCTCTAGCATTCTGGCTTCTAATCAAAAATGAACCAAGTAAAGATTACTTTGAATTCAGGGAAGAGAAGAAGCAGCACTATTTTATTTTGGACAGACAATAACCAAAAGTTTGCTGTTGTCTTTTCTTTCTTTCAAAAGCATGATCCCCCTCTTATCTGAGAGAAAACATACCACGAAACGTTATTTCTTACCTGGCATACTCCTCACGTGCTCTGGAAGCTACTGTTTCCTGGAAGAGGGAATTATTGTGTTGAAAAAACTTATCATATCTGTCTGAATCAGAGCTCGGGTAAATTCGACGGTAGCCTCCTGTGTTTTTTTCCTCATATTTCTCTGCTTGCTCGAGCCAGGCAGCTTGGCAGTTCTTGTATTCCTCGATCCTGATAAAATTATCCAAGTAAAACTGTTAACAAGCCCCTGAGAAAATGTCTGCAGTGGGAGATTCTTCTCACTTGATGTTCATGGTGCCATTGCAGTCTTCAAACTTTATTTCTTTAATTCTTACAAGTTGAGATAAAATTTCTTCATAAAGCTTGTAAAGAAAGTTCAGAAATATAAACAGCACACACAATAGTTTCATATGTGGGGATACTTATTTAATAAATACATAAGGTTTTGAAGCTAATGGAAGTACATGTGCAGCTGATGCTGCCACCCTTCCCTTCTGCCCCCTCCCTGGAAAAGGCAAGGTCAGGAGGAAAGAAAGGCCTATTCTAGCAGATATTTCTGCAAGATGGAAGTTCAGGCCTCTTTTCTCTCCTCAGTTCCTTTACAGGATAAAATAAATAGATCAAAGGAGTGCTGAACATTGCCAACATTCATGACAAGAACTTGCAGTCTGGCTTCGGTTTTGTTCAGCCCTGTCCACAGGACCTGAGCATTTAAATGACCTCTGGAAAATGTTGGAACATACAGTTGAGTTCACATTTTCTGTGTATCTCATCTATCTTGCTTTATACTTGATTCAGACTGCTGATGAAACAGAGTCTGAATGACAAATAAAGAGCAACTTGTTTAACAATATTTTGTTCAAAACTATTATGTTCTTTTAATATATACATTGGAGGACCTCACATGTTTGGATACAGGATTCACATTGTACATATTTCTGCACCAACTACAAGACATGGAATGCAATGCTTACAGAAATTGTGGATTTCCTCTTGCTTTACTCCCTAGCTTTGCTGAAGGCTGCAAAGCTCTCCTGCATTCCCTAGAAAATTAGGATAGCAGAGAGAGAGAGAAAAGGTAGTGATCTGGCCCTTATTTTTGTTCTGAATAGCTAAGCAAGTCAAACTGTACATTATGACAATTCAGACTAAAACATTTTGAATGCTAGAACCAAATGAACACCTTCAATTCTGATACATAATTTTTTTATCCAAAGTGAAACCTGGCTATTTTGCAACCTCATCTGAAGTCCCCTCCACTTCTCTTTTGTTTCAGTACATTCTATCAAATTTATGGGGCAGGGAACTGTACAAATGTAGCATCATTTTAGGAGATTAAAAACAAATACAAAACCCAAGCATGTCTTTCTGGAAGGAGAGGCATCTATGTATAACGCTTAGTACACACATGCTAGCAGCAAGACAAAGGGAACACAAACCTCAAAAATAAAATGAAGCATGGCACAACACACATATAATCACACCCATCACCTGTCAGCTACATCGTTTCCCAGATACATTAGTGAACTGATTTTTACATGTTCCCCTTTGGCTGTTTGGGCTGCTACATGATTTTCTGTATCTGAGCTATTGCTGTTATAGAGTAATCCACTTACTAAAGGAACACCTAGATGCTACGTTATACATGGAGCTGCAGCTGCTAACAATTGTCAGGACTGTGAAATGTATAATGTTGTGATATTAAGAATTAGATAACCTATCTCAGATATTACAAAGAAAGGGAGGGGAATAAATGTCTAGGTCATTTTCAATGACAGCCATGTATACGTATGGCCTGAATTGCCAGATAACTTGTTGGTTTACCTGAGAGCCTGCTAATTTCACTTGTGAATTTCTGTTTGTAATTTGTATTTCTGTAATACTTCTCCAATATTCTTATTTAATGAGGGCTACTAAATGAATGGGAACTTGCATTTAAAATATGGTAATTTATTTCTGTATGATCCAAAGTCAATGAGATGTGAATCCATTGCACTTAAGATATATTTTGCAGGTGGCTTATAGACTAATTGACTAAGCTCTAGGATACAGGAGAAGGACTAAAAAGCTCACACCTGGCTTCCGGATTACGGCACTGCTTGAGAAGCCTCTCTTTCCCTCTTCGTTTCTCTTCTTCCAAGACTTTCCGCTTATCACAGGCTGCCAGGTTGATCAGAACAAGAGTGTCATACAAAAGTTGGTCTTTAACCTCTTTGTCCAGCCATGAATCAGTACTGAAACTTGGAGAATGATTCACCTGGAACAACAAGGATCAAGCCAATTTGCGTTTACATTTTCATTTGAAATACATAGCAAATTCCCTGGAAAAGAGCATTGGAAGATCAAAAATAATAGACACAACTGCAGTGGGAAGTACTGAAGGCAACATTTGAAGCTTCCAGTCAAGGCTGGTATATTGCCATTGAAGCATGTTCAAAACACCACAATTATCATTCACAACCATTACAATGTACAAGAGGTACACATAAAGAGACATGTGCAATAGTTGCTCCACAATCATAGAAGACCATTTTAGTAATTTATCAAAATTCAAGTATGAGCATCTTACTAGAGCACTGAATCCACTTTTTTTTAAAAGCATGATTCTTCCAAAGCCTCCAGGCAGGATTGCAGAATCTTCCTATTAGGCTTTTTCATGGTTTGTATTAGCTGGAAGGAGTGTCCAGTGGCATCTCCAAGACTAACAATTTCACTATTTATTACTATATGAGGTTATACTATAATAGTCTTTAAAGTGTCACAAGACTGTTGATTTTACAGCAGCAGCATGAAATGGCTATCTTTTTGGAAACTACTGGTGCGTTTTACTTAACTGAATGATATGAATGATTTTTTTCATTATTTGGAGATGTGGAGGTTATTTAGAGGTTTTTACTAATGATATAATAGTAATTATTAAGTAGACATAGTAATTAAGGTTTTGATGAATAATACAATGTGAGGACCATTTATGTTCAGTGTAGAAGACTACAGCTTTGAACTATAGTTAGATGAAATATGTAGAGGCAAACTATTATGAAACTGAGATCTATGCAGTATAAAAATGGTAATAGTATCCTGTGTATTCGCGAAGGCTTTCACAACCATTAGTATCCTGTGTGCTTAATGAGACTGGATGTGTTAAATGTCAGTTACGAATTTGCTCATCATTTGCTGAAAATAAGAGTGCAATCATTTTTAAAAGTCACTAAAACAAACTTTTGATCATCAAGCAAGCAAACAAACCTAACCTATATTTGCCGAAGAATGATAGGTAATACTGTACTAAAACTGTATTCAGTGAGAACATTCACTTGTAAATCACATTAGAAGATGGAGGCAATTTCAACAATTATTTTTGATTAAATGTTGGAAATTTCATATATTTTATATAACATTTATACTATATGACTTCCCAACTCATACAATTTTCTAATAGTTAAATTTGTCTTTGCATTAGCAATGGAAATATTTTTGCATTTTCTTATTTATATATGTAATCTGAATTACATTAAACCCATTGGTAACAATATATTTTATATAATATGAGGTATTTTAATTATTTATTTTGTTGGTTTTATTGTATCGCTTTCCAGTATCAACCTTAATTATTTCCCCTCAAAAAAATCCAAAATCAGTCAATCAATCCAAATAAGTAAAATTGAAATAAAATAAATCTGGGCTTCTACTATGACATAAACAAAAGGATGTGTGACCGATCTGTGAAGTGCATTGTCACAGAATTTTATGAAGGCAACTAATTTAAGCAGTTTGTATCAACAGTATGGAAGCTAAATTCATCAGTGGTTATTAGTTGTGACAGCCAATTGCACGGCCACAGATTACCAAATACTGAGAATTAAAAACAGAGGGAGCCTACTTGTGAACCTCTCTGGGGAATCTGACTGGCCACTGTCAAAAGAGATGAGGAAGAGCTTGTTTGGTGAACCATGGCTGAGACCTAATTTATGAAAAGTTCATGCCTTAATCCTCACACAAAATGTGTTTAACATTTGATTGTTTTCCTGACTGGGAACTCCAATATGTAAGGGCATATTTGATAACATTCCCTGTAGTCTAACGCCCTCTGCTGGATAACCATATGTTTGGAAGAGTTGCCACAGGGCACAGATCATGAGGCATGCAAGCGACGGCTGATGGTCTCCAAAGAAAGGGAGAAGAGAAGGTAGAAAGAGCTGTTTGCTTTAAAGGAACATACCTCAAGCAACCATGGTTTGAGTTTTCGATCTAATAAAATATCAAAACCCAGGATTTCAAAGCAAGCACTCCACATGGTGTGACTGGGAAAACAGGTGAGATAATTATGCTTGATGATAGGATGGGCTGATATCAATGTTTTAACAACAACATCTTCAATGTCCTTCCATATCCGTTCTGTTTCATAGCCATTTTGCTCCATGTAGTTATTAAAGGTGGACAGCTTCCTTTGAAAAATCAGGGGCAGGGTGGAGAAAAAAGTGAAAGACAATATGTGAAGCATATTTTCGGTACACATTTCTTTAAGTACAGAGGTGTTTACACTCAAGATGCAGCCATAAATAAATGCCAAATGCAAAGTGATTCAATATGCACATCTTCCAGTTTCATGTGACTTCATCCAGTACGGCTATCAAATACAGTTCTGTATTTGCGATCATTAAAATAAATGTAAATTCACAGAAACAGAAAAGTAGTTAATGAAAGAGAAGAAAAATAAACTCCCCTTCTGCTGCTCTTTAACTATGCATTGGAAGATTAGTTGCTCACATGAGTAATGGAAGAATTAAAAGGGTTTTTTTAAAAAAAGAATGAATACAGTTTGTGGTCTTGAGTGAATTTGCAGTTTCACAAAAAAATAGCCAGTTAGGCAATCAGATAGATAGAAAGTTAGATAGAAAGATAGACAGAAGCCCACAGAGCAAGTTATAAAGCACCAAGTCTCAATTTTTCATATCTGACACCTCATCAACCATGCTGTCAAAAGAACCTGGTCCTGTCATAAGAGAAGCAAAAGGCCCACTTTCTACAATAAGAGCATTAATCTGTTTAGAGGCCTTATGTTAGTCTGTTTATTATTTATACCAAGTTGCAGAACAGTACTTTTGAAGGATTCACTTGAAGATCTGTATAAATGTGCTGTGAGCACATTTATATGATATTTAACAATAGTGGGCCAAGTGGGAAAGTCAAATAAAGGTTGATGGTATGAATGGGTCACATGATATGAAGATTAGGCCAGTCATAGAGAGGTGGGGCAGGATCTGTTCTTGATCATCATTCAAGAGTGCAGGACCCATAATAATGGACTCAAATTACAGGAAGCCAGATTTTGGCTGAATATCAAGAAAACCTTCCTGTTAGAGCAGTATGACAACAGAACCAGTTACCTTCAGAAGAACTGAGTGCTCCAATGCTGGAGGCATTCAAGAGAAAAATTGGATAACCATTTATCTGTCAGATCTACTTTGATTTGGACACCTGCACTGGGCAGGGAGTAAGACTCGATGGCCTTAAGGACCCCTTCCAACTCAATTATTCTATGATTCTATGAATAAGGAGAGTGTAATCCATAGCAGCTGATGCCACTTCAGTGACACTGTCAATGGTGGGTTTCATGAATGAGTGACTAGGGAAATAATGACTATCCAAAGTTAGTTCTAGCATTTTAACATGTAACAGATAAATAATACATAGTAGTTAGGATCAGAAGGAGCCGAGGGAATAAAACATGTAGGAAGAAATGGAAATTGAGCAAGAACAGCCCCTGTTTTTCTGCATCCCACTGGTGAAACACACACCACCAGCTGAGAATCACAGTTATAAAAGGAAATTGCACTGAGCAACTAAATAGCATGGTTAAACCACAGAAAAATGGAGGTTAATGCAAAATAGCTCTATGGGAAGTACATTCCATTTCTCACAGACTTTAGCATAAACGGGCAGTAAATTCTACAGATTGGGACTGAACTGTTGTTCCTAACACCACACATTAAAGAGCCATGAAATTCTTGTGATTACCACAGTTCTGCAGAACCCAAACCGAACTGAGAACAGATTAATTTAAAAGCAATAACTCTCTTTCACTCCACCTTTGAGACACATTGGCTGAAATGCCGTTGCACAGTTCTGTGTGTAAAACAGGGATAACAGTAGCAGCAGCAAATTGCCACTGATTAAAGGTGACTTCAGAGTTGACAGAGTCACTCGTACACAATGTGATTAAGTCACATGCATCCTGAAATCATCCAATAAAGCTTTTAATCAATGATAATTTGTCACTGCAGATAAAATCATCACCACTGTTCACACAGAGCTGTGCAACAGAATTTTGGCTAACACCTAAGCCCTTTGAAAGTTGAAATAACAAAGCTGTTGTATTTCCCATATGATCAGGTGACATTTGAATAATAACAAAGGATCAAGAGGAAGCAAGACAGTGAGCAAAGGGCAAAATCAAAACTCTTAAGATTTAACTCTTGGCTTTGGATTTACTGTAACATCTGCTCTAGTAACTCCTCCTACTCCTTTACTGACCTGCCACATTGCAGACTCCATTGTCTGATTACCTCATTGTACTGCAGAAAAGAGACGGCACTGCTGGCATTAACCTGTTTACTGGAAAAGTGTAGTAATACAATGGAAAACTACCCAAAATGAACCAAGCTTTTGCCGCAGTGGGCAGAACACTGCAACAGAACAGCAACAGCAGCTGACAGAATATGCTATTAGTGATCAACAGAAAAGTCTAGAATAGCTGGAGAAAAGAGAAAAACAAGGCAACAATAATTAGACCAAACTGACCATTCTGTGCAAGATTTAGAGAGGTGGCTAATTACACCCACTGAAAACAATGAAACAGAGGGTGGCAATCCAGCAACTCCATTTGCAACAAATTCATTTTAAGGGGGGGGGGAATAAATCCAATCTTCTCTCAGCTGCTTCAGGCTCCCTGCTGTTACTCATCTGAGCTTTAAAAATGATTTATTTCACCTAATGATGGAGAAAGCGCCACGTGCCAGCTGAATTTAGAGAAATGTTTCCTAAACACATATGAAATGGCTGTAAAGATTCATGAGAGCAGGCACACCAGCATCCCCCCAGCTGTGATTATTCTGGAAAACATTCTGTACCTCTTGCTACCAGAGTCTTCGTCTCGTACAAAATTAGCACTGTGCTTGTTAATTGAATAATTAGTCAGGTGCATACAGACGTCATCCTGTAAATAATTAAACAAACAAGCAGGTTATGAGGCTACAGAGATTTAATTTTTCCTTATGCTCCCTTCTTCACAACTGAGGTGAAGAGGATGCAAGAAGTATCACCTGTACCTTATGAAAGGGCTGTATAGATTCGAGGGCCTTTATATCCATTTCAGAACTATGATTCCATGAATATAAGACTGTTTTCATTAACAAAATTATTTTGACAATGGAATTTCAAGACAATTCAACTTCCAGCATGTGTATTATGAGGAAGGTGATATTCTGCACTCTATAGAATCATAGATCTCGAAGAGATATTAAACTACTCATTTTCTTTTCAAGGCAATATGCTCAGAGCAAAACAAAACCGAGAGACAAAAATGTGTCTTTAAAAGGCTTCCTATCTCACAGCAAAGTTGTTGTATGAACTCCAAAGGACGCAAGATTGAAAACAGGTAAAATTCAGCATTGGCTGGTATGGAACTTTTGAGCTTGGCAGAACTCATCTCTATGTGCCCCTTGACTGGTGACTATTCTCATTATGATTCTTACTTGGGAACCAGGGGGGTCATTTCAAGCCTAACCATCATTTCAGATGGAAAAATGCCAGATAAAATCCTACATGCTGCACATGCCTCAGAAAAGAAATTTTGCAGCCTGATGAAAGGGAAGAGGGAACACACAGCCTCTCTGTTCCGTGCACAGAAGGCAACTATACTGATAGTGAAAACTCACTTCTGCACTGGGAACAGAATAGCGTCCTCTATCACTTCTGAAAGTGGCAGAATAGCTTTGGAAGAAGAGGACAAGGTGTGTGGAACACAGTTTGGTCATCCAAGAGAGGTGAATGGCTGGGGATTCAGGAAGAAAACCTGTGGCCACTGCTGTTCCATCAACATCTGATATCTGACAACAAACTGTAATGCTGCTTCTAATTTATAGCTTGCCACCTTATGCATTTTGTTGAACTAGCAGTGCAAGAAACTTGTAAGGTAGAAACCATGAAGCACACCCTCAGCGGTAAATGAAGAGACCGAAGACACGGCTGCATTTCCCCTGATGCTGTGAGGCTTAGATAGTCTTGGGAAAAGGTGAAAAAGCACTGGATGTACACCAATATTCTAGCATGCCAGTTTGTATCAGCAGGAACCCCACTTTACTCACCAAATTGCTATGTGATGGTTCTGAATATGCAGATGTTGCAAAGCGTGCAAGACCCTCCTTATAAACATAAACTCGTAGGGGATCACATGACGTCACCAGCACATAAACACGAAGATCAAACTTAAAACCATCAATAATAAAAGGCTTGGGAAAAAAGAAGGGAAATACTTAAATTACACATCTGAGGGGCAGAAATAACACAAGTCTAAAAAGTGAACATCACCTAGAAACTCACATGCACCAGGACTTTCACTGGCTTCCTCCAAGTTTACTAAATATGAATTCACATGGCAGTTTTGACTGGAGATCACCTCAGTATCTCTTTTTCCATAACAGATCCATATTGAAAACACTGACTGAATCCCCTCTGCTCAAGTCCACCCACGTATCACAGCTCACATCAGAAGGTCACACCAGAAGGGCAAATAGAAGCTTATTCCCTGAAGATTAATACTTTATCTGAGCTTTTTTTAAAGAGTTCAGTAAGCCTGGTGTTTCCTAATGATTGCACAATCAGAACAAGAGGAAGTATTGTAAGTCATCCAGCTAACCATTGCTTGATGGTAGAAGTCCAGAGTTAGAGCATCCCCAGCCGAGGCTTCAATTTTATCAATATAATTTTAAATGTTATTTCTGACTACTGAGGTGCTGACCAAGAGCAGAAAAGGTTGAAACAGAGGGTTGCCTCACCCTACTACTTTCTATTGTTGGATAAGCACCTCCTTGGTTGGTTCAAGGACCACCAATGGTATCAGTCATCCCTCTCAGTCTTGCAGCATCTATAATTTTAATAAGGATTCCCATGATTCTTCTACCTCATTAATGAAAATGTTAAACAGATATAAAATGGTGAACAAATACTGAAAATTTTCAGGCTCCACAACAAAGTTTTGCAACCTCCCATTTAAAATCTCCTCTAATCTGATGTGTGTGGTTTTCGTAGAGTCTCCCATCAGCTGTGAATCAACTTGATGATATTATGGCCTATCCCATAAACAGACCATCTGCTGGTTAACCCAAAAGCTAGACCTGTATAGTCAAAATTCTGCTTAACATTATTTTAATTTCTGCTCCACCTACCTCAGTTTCCTGATACCCCTTTATCTTGCTTCCCTGCATACTTTGCCATTTGATTCTAGCACATATCCTATGATCTTCCTGACCCTCCACATTTATGCTCTAGTTCCCAAAATTCATACTTATTAACTTGCTGAATACCATGCTCCCTATCACAATTGTTTCATTAATTTCCTCATTTACCACTCTACTGGAAAAAGTCTTTGGGCTTGTACAAAATATAAACTTCCTTCTTAAGGCCCATACTGTATCTACCTGCCTTGATTCACAATCCCTTGGTGCCTTCCATAATGGAAACACACAATTCTTATCATCTCCCTCTACTCCAGTACAAAAAGTGAGTGTCCTTCCAGTGCCATTGCTTATCCCACAGTAATCTCATTAACCATCATCATCCTTCCCACCAACTAATCCTTCCATCCAAGTAAAATGTTTTTAAACATCAGCAAAACTGTAGCAACTGATGCTAGAGCAACTCAAAGGTAACACTAAAAGCCCATTGAAAGACTAATGTAAAATATTACCTTTGAGATATAGAGCTGGCAGATCATATCCTCCCCAGGTTTGATATCTTTTACAGTTCTTGTAATGAAAATGCCTCTGCCTTGACAGCCAGAATCTGGTTTACAGATATACGTCTTATGCTTTTTTGATCTGCCAAAGGCTTGCAGTTCACCATAGCTGAGAACAGTAAAGAAGAAAGCAAAAAAGAAATTCTTTTTCTGATATATAAATTAACCCTGGCATTATAGCAGTCCAAGATGAAGTACTGACAGTAATAGGAGGAATATTGATATAACCAGGCATCAACTCAGTTTGTTTCCTTGTTTTTTTTAAAACAGCTTCTACCTTTACACTAACCCTGGCCTTTGGGGAATTCTTCATGGAAATACTGTACTCACTGATGAATGACAGGTGAAAGGGTTGTTTGTTTGTTTGTTTGTTTTTTGTTTTTAATTGTATGAAATATCTCTTTCCCTCCAGTCTTGCTTCCCCTCCTCTCATGTCCACAATTCTATGGCCCCTGGCTTTATGGTCACTCTACAACCCCCCCTCCCTTCACCAAAATAAAACTACCTCTCAAGAAAGACCAGAATGGAAGTGCTTTAGGAAAACTCACTCAGCAGGAAGACACCAGGTTCTGGGAAAGAAGTTAAAGTCCTTGGGGAAAAGCTTTAACATCCTGCTCATATTCCTAGCCAGAAGGTCCTTTCTACAGATTTCAGACATCCCAGGGAAATGGTTGATTTTCTAGGAAAGCAGGTCAAAGGCAAAATCTTAAGGTTTGTCTAGGACTTCTAGATAATTTTCATGAGTGAAAAAACACAGGTACATTACCTCCATCTCACGGTAACAAATACCTGGTAACTTTTCATTTCCAACACTCGATCCAGTGAAACAGAATAATCTGTCCAATATAGGGTCCAGTCATCAACCTCACTTGCTTCCCGGAGGCCACACAGCTTGGCAGCCCGTCGCACTGCAAAGAGACAGGTTATATTAGCATTTACATAAAAGTGTCTGGGAAGAAGGGCTTGTTGAAATCCACTGGCTGCATAATAGGTACATCATCAGACAAATGTGACCCATAACACCGTATATTTTAATTACAAGGTATGAATACAACAGGTGATCATTTCCTTGAGCTTAGCAGGCAATGAGATATAGTTGATGTGCATGCCTTTATTGCCTTTTCAAATTGTAGCCTTTGCAAAAATTATCCCTCTTTGAGCTTAGAAAGGAAAAAAAATCAAAATGTAATAGATGTGTCTTGTAGCGCTATGGGGCGGTATATATAAGTCCAATATAAGTCTTTCAAAACTTGCCTTTTTCTTTCAAACCAATTTTAATTGCAGTCATGAGATCCAGAATTTCTTTTTAAACAAAAGCTGGGTTTCTCAAAATTCTAGTTGAGTCAAGAGATAGCTGGAGGCTTCTCTCTTATACAACGGAGCAGTAAAACCAAGCTCCTCTTTCTCAACTGGGAACTAAGGAGGGTACTCACCACTTTCATACTTGCAGTTAGTCAGATTTATCACTGGTCATCTGGAAAACATAAAAGGAAGAAAAAAGACAGAGGCAGACAGGCAAAACCAATTCATGGTTTTAATCTGAAGCTTTTGAGAACTTTTGATTTGTTTTCTAAGATTCAGCTTTTGCCTCCTCCAAGTGTAGGTGGAATACTATGTTTGGAAATGTTTGGACCTGGAAATTTGTTCAAATTCACCTTAGTCTTCACCACAAATGGAAGGGCTTTTGGCATCTCACTCAGCCATAGTAAGACCTACTGAACGGGATTACTTTGAAAATAAATATTACTGAAATGTAATAATACATGATGTACCACTACTTAAAATAATTTCAAGAAGGCAAAGCTACATATTACTTTGGCTAAAATGTGTCAACCTCATATACTGTATCCAAAGCTTACAAAAAGATGAGGCAAGGCAGTGGTCCCCAACTGTTTTGCTTCCACAGACCAGTTTAGCATGTGAGCTTTTGTGTGTGTCTGTGCGTGCGTGGGAGGGGCATGTGCAGGGGGGGGGCAGAAGATCTGTCTCTGCATCCCAGTCCTGGCAAGGCAACGGACTGGGACTTGTCCACGAACTGGGGGTTGGGTACCTCTGAGGTAAGAAACTTGCAAAAAGGCATTAGCAAGTAAAAGCATTTATCATCCACATTGATTCCTTCTGATTCTTGCCTGCACATCCTTTCCAACAGCTTCCTCCCCAACAACAAAAGGGCTTCATCTATAAAGACCCCCAGCTCCTGCTAGTAAATGTGCCTAAATAGCAACATTCAGGGCTGGCCCTATCATTGAGCAAAATGAGGCAACTGTCTTATGGAAGGTGCTGAGGTAACAGAAATGGGAGCACAATAGCTTCTTTTTTATTATTATTATTTTTAATTCACTGGAGGTTTGCGTTTTTTAGAAGACAAAGTTGTGAGTGCTACACAATCTGTCTTGCATTCCCTTAAACTAGCCTGATACCATCAAGTGTAACTGTGGACATTATGCCATTACCAGTCTTAACACTGATGATTCATTCATTTGATGTCATGTTTTGTTTAGCAAAATCCCATTACCGTTTTTCTTTCCTAAGCTTACGTGTAAGATTACTAACATGACAGGTTTAAAATCCAAAACTAGAAACTAGCTAAGTATTTTCACAGAATGAGAGATGCTGGTGAAATTTCAATGTCATAAAATGTACGATCCTGCTGCTCTCAAATGGGGAAGAGCCCTTAGCTTCAGATCCTGCATTTCTGCATCATGCTATACAGCACAACAGCTACAGTCTCCTTCTGCTACTGAAAGGATGCAGTGATCAAGAGCAGCTTCAAATGTGCTCACTTGGTTGCTGATCACTGCCTCAGAATAAACGAACACAGGGCACCCAGATACTGGATAAAGTGTCGGAGGAAACCACAAATGTATGGTTTATTTGAGAAAGATGCAGAGAAGCTGCTTTGTGCTAAATCCTGGCAAGCATGTGGTTAGAATACAAACAGGCAGTTCCATGCAGGCTGGAAATTGCTGTTTTATACACATGAAAAGCATACATTTTTTACACTCAAAACAGGAACATAAAACAGTTGGCTCTGGATTATGATACACTTCAGTACAGCACTCATCAAGGTTATATTCTACTCCAAGATACTGTAAGTATCAGCCTGACTCTGAATATCCATTGTTAACAATAACAAGAGAGGGATATTGTATTTATGCCCTGCTCAGGAGCTTCCCCAAGATATCTGGATGGATACTGTATGATACAAGATTTTGGATCAGACAGGATATTGGTCTACTTCACAGGGATTTTCTGAATTGCTGTTCATACATTCAAATGCCCATTCTCCCATGAAGTGTTTAATGAAGTGTTTACAAGGAGGCCCTGTGAAGCCAGTATGTTTCGGCCTAGCATACCTTACTGGTTTTAGCTTTTAGATTGATAGGCATGGACTGGTGGGAGAAATATTAAGAAAATGTCTCTTTTCCAGGCTCTTTCTGCTTGGATCAATATTGCACTAGGGTGGGCTCTTAAACACCACAAGAAGAAAGAACAAGTCACTAAAAAGATTATAGGAGAGGGCCCTGATTCACAAAAAAAAATAGTATCTACTAATTTATATGTGCAGGTGCAAAACTGGAAATTATTTTTATAATTTTGTCAGAATTACAATATATCTCACCCAGGAAGACCCAGTGACCTGTCTGTTTACTGAGTTTGCTGTTCCAGTGCTAAGTGTGATGGGCAGCTTCAAGGTCCCTAACCTCCCTTCTTACGATTCTTCCCTTTTGAATCAGACTTGCACTGGACAGCCTCTCCGATAGGGGGCACCTTAAAACAGGACTGTCCTTTTCCGAAGACTTTTTTAGAAAGGTCATGTGGCCACCCTGTATTGCACTCCCTCCTCATTCTCAGCACCATGAAGAACTGCCATGCTTCCTCATTTAATTCCTTAAGCTACTACAGTTCCCTATCCTCATATGGACTTCACAAGTCCTTTCAATCTTATTACTAACCTCCTTTTCTTTCTCTTCTTCTTTACAGCCACACTGGAACACAGGCTTTTTCTGCTTTCCTCTTCACAAACCACTGTTTCCTGGTCCGTGGCATCAAGTACACTTTCTTCTTTATCTAGACCACTCGGAGGAAATTCTAGCTCAGAACCATCCTTCTCGCCCAGTTCTTCCAGGTCTGTTTGAAGAGAACGATACCTTCGTGCTTCCTCTGATAACTTCATCCTGCTTCCAAAACAAAGAAGCAAATGAACAAGGAGATAAACAAATTGGACCCAAAGGTAGTAAGCAATTATACCAATTACTTGTCACTCTGGAGATTTCCTTGATAAACAACCCAACAGGCACAGGAACCATCCACTGCACTGGATAGAGTTTTGTAAACACCATGCTGCCTGAACCACCATGAATTTCCACACATTTTTAAAATGGCCTCATCTTCCCATCAAAAGATGAAGGCACACGCCATGTCTGTTTTTATCAATGGTGTTGTCTATGTGATTAGACAATCCATGAAAGCTAAAATATTATGACCCTCATCTGTTAGGATAGCTCAGTGGGTTGAGTACCTGGCTGCAGAGTAAGATGTTGCGAGTTCAGTTCTCCAATATATCTTATGTATTTGGGGCAGGGCAGGCTGTACAGTCCCAAGGTGCCCCCAGAAGAAGAGACTAGTAAACCACTTCTAAGTATTCTATACCTAGGAAAGCCTATAAAGAACTGCCATAAGTCAGAACTGACTTGGCAGCACAATTAATTAAAAGTCCTTTCACTGTTTAAGTTCAATATACCATAAATGTATTCAAGTGTAGGTACTAAAGCTATAAGTATCCTTCTCATACCACCACAGTATCCTTTAATAGCTTACCCTTGCTCATTTCTGCAGGTCCAGTCCTTCTTAGATTCTAGAGTGCAATGCTATAGCCCACAAGTACACAAACCTCACTTGAATGCCATCTCAATACTGACACCCGATAAGTAGAGTGAGAGAACTCTGGGTCTATCAGATCTAATTGTTGAAACTTGAATCTAACAGGGTCAAATTCTCCTGCAAGCATGCAGTTCAAAGAGAAGTTACAGTACAATAAATCTTTGTCAGAGGTTTGTTTACTTAATGGGTGGGGCTGATAGCCATCATATCATATCAAGTATGTTTTCTTCTCTTACACATGTAGGCTCCACAGGATAAAAATATTATCCCTGGAAACATAGCTTCAAGTATCCTTCTACAAAAACCTTGTGTCTGAACAAGTTACTGCATTCTAACTTCATCATCTGCAAGCTTTGTGTAGAAAGAAATTCAAAATATTTTGATAATCAAATTACTGTACCAGTGGAGGGGGAGCACACCTAAGGGAGACACTAACAAGAAATTACTCAAAAAGATATTTTGGATAATCCTTGTGTATGGAAAAAATCTACTGTAGCTCAAAAATCAATTTACGAGTATGTTGTTGAATCACCAGCAAAATTTCCATACAGTTACCCCATTATTTATTTGTTTGTTTATGTATTTATTTTTTGCTTTCTCCCCATAGGTAACTCAACGTTGCTCACAGCACATAAAACAACAGATTTTAAAACACAGTATAAATATTGCATTTAAAAAACATTTGAACACATATTAAGATTTAAACACAAATTTAAAAACAAGTTAAAATCTGCAGTGCTAATCCACAGTCCTTAACACTGTTCCTTGCAAGTACGTTTCACAGAAACCACACAACAGTTGTCTGAGCAAACACTATTAATATGAGCACAAGATAGATGGAAAATATATGCTAGGAGTGCATTTCTTTTAATGCTTAAGTCCTTGCATCATGAAATAATTAGTTGAAATGGTTTATTAGTCTGAACTCTACATGTCTTAAAAACCTAACAAGCATGTTTAACAAACAGGAACAGTTAAAAAACTGTTTAAAACTATAAAAACACATATCTTGCATTTTGTAAAACTAACCTGATTCTCAACTCCTCAGAATGGGTTTCAGGCTCTTCCCAGACTTGTTCATAAGGGAAGGTGTATGTTGTTGCAGATGCCATCTTGGTGTTTCTAAGCAAGGTAAAAATTAAACAGAATATACAACTGAAGGCTCCAGTGATAAGAAGTTATGCTTAAAGTTTTCTAGCCATGACTCAGAACCAGATCCTGGCACAAGTCAGGAGTTATTCTGAAGTAATCATTAGTAGACACACAACAAAGAAAAGCCTGTTAGTGTAGCAGAATCAGTCCCACCGTTACCAAGGAAAGTCTTGTTTGTTTCATTTACAGTTGTCTGAACACGTCTTTTCATTACAGTCTTCTGTGTCTGTCCAAATGGAAAGCTGTGCATGCAATTGCAACTGATAGATTGGAAGGTTTTAAAGCATTATCTTACATATTTAAAAACCCAGTAGAAACATGCTTTTAATTTAAATAACGTTCAGATATGTAAGAGTTTCTCCACTGAGTGTTGTCCAAGTGCTGCAATTTTATATTAGAATAAATGAGCAGTTAAATTTTCACCTACCGTAAATAGCTAAGCAAATGAAAGAGCAACAAAGGGCATTTTGATTCCCACGTATACAGTACTCTGCATTATTACTACAGTATATCAGGCCTTTGGAAACTGTTACTTACAGTAATGTAAAAAAATATACAGAGCAGATATAAAATATGCAAGATCCTTTCCCTCCTTAAGAATAAGTAAGAGCTTAATCAACAACAACTGGCTTATACTTCCTTACATGAGTGGGGTAAGGGAGAGAGAAAATGCAATGCAGAGGTCTACATTATCAGAAGGTTTTAAGATGGAGGTGTGCTGGGAAATGTTAAGTGAAGAAACACAGCTCTTTCAGATATAAGAAAAACCTCAGAATAATAGACGTAAACTCCCCATTTGAAGGAAAGGAACAAGTGTTGTACAGTACTTGTTTTCAAATAAAAACAGTGCAGGTGCTCATCACGACATTCTCTGTAACCAGTCCCAACACACAAGGAGACTGAAATGCAAGATGCTGGATTTGTCCATATCAACAAACAAGGAGCAGATGACTTCTAAAGTTATTGGCTCTTAATTATCTATCAAATATCCAAACCCAACAGATCAAACTTTTGGTCCCCTAGCTACTGCCATGATTGCAGCTAAGCTCAGAGTCAAGAAAGCACAGGGATGACGTGGTGTGGTGCACAATGATATTGCCTCTGCAACTTGGACATTTCCAAGGCGTCAGTCCTTGGGAGCCTGGACTCCACCACAGACTTTTAAGCGAATGGTGAGAATAAGGATGCAAGGGGGGCAGATGATAGCAAGAGATTGTAGCTAAAACTGTTATTCTGCATGCACTGGTGGAAGGCAGTATGATCAGCCCTCTCTCTCTAGGCAAGATACAGTCTGTCTCTTTAACAAGAGTTTGTCTCAGTCTGCAGTTAGCAAATTAGTGTGCTTTTGTCTTGTAATTGGTCACCTGGGGGATGGCAAGACTTGTTTTTATGCCTGATGTTTCAAGCCAGAAACAAACCTTAGATAAAAGCCATTAGTCCTCAAAACACCTTAATATTGCTGAGAAGCCTTGTTAAGAAAAGTCCCATGCTTAACTCCTAAAGATCAATCACCAAAAGCAAGCTAATTTGCAAATTTCAGGTGATACAAACACCTTTTAAGACACTCAGAGGTTTTCTTTAGTTAAGGATTTCCCACTTCTAGTCACAGATTTCCCCTCTAAGGTTAGTTACTGGTCTTGGGCAGGAAGCATCTGCACTGCCTGCTCCTAAAAAGAAATATGCATTAGCTTCGAAGTGCTGCTTGACGCCCAAAGAGCAGATTTGGAGCCTCGTCGAAGGACCACAGATTATTACCAGTTTCTTATTATTATGCCACATCATTCTGCCTCCTGTGCCAGAAAAAAAATTGCCTACTTTAAAATTTTTGATATTTGATATTTACATTTGATAGTTGACCGAGTAGACATGGTCTAGAGGGGCGGGGTATAAATTTAATAAATAAATAAATAACTATTTACACAACTATGCCCTTTGTGAGAGAAAGAGTTACCTTGTTTATGTCAGTGAGACAAATTGCTTATCTTATTGCAGTTTAATGTTTCCTGCTTGACTGGGACTGAAAGGTCCTTGCAACTTAGTATACTTCGATATGGACAATGTTGTGTGGGAGTTTACTTTGCAATAATAAAGGTCAGGAGTTTCAAGAGAGGTCCAATACATTGAGACACAGAAATGTAGAGTTATGGGTAATTACAGATACAGTAAAATCAATCTTCACTACATAGAAAAATAGCAAAATATGAAAAGGATCTTCAATACATTGATTATAACAAAGATAGAGGAGATATATATAGAAAGTATACTATGTTAGCTGACATATGGCTGAGAAGCTAATTCAATGCATTGAGTTTTTGTGTGGCATGATATACATATACAGTACATGTTACATTCAATCTCTATCCAGCATGTCTATCACTATACAAAGTGTCCTGGGCAAAAGTCATTCTCAGGCAGGGGTGAGGCGTGCTTTTCAACAAGAATGCTAAATTACGTTATTATTATTTTTTAGGTTTATTTCCAGAGGCAATGGAGAAGGCGGCAGACAATAAAATGCTGCCAAGCCCCCCCCCCCGGACAAACGGGAGAGATTTCTAGGCGACACACCATTTATCTCACGCTCCAGCCATGTCGCTGCACAAGACGCGCTCCCTTTCCAACGGGCGGGCGGGACAGAATGTTGAATGGGGCGGGGCTCGGCCAGTTGAGGGGCGTGGCTTTCAGCCCCCTCCAGTAGGTCTCCTTCGCCCCTCCCCCGCCCAACCGCTCTTCGAGTCAAACTCCGCTCCGTATCTCTTTCAACGCAACCTAACCTTGTCTCTCGCCCCCCCCCCTTTTTCGACTTCTCTTTGGCTGAAGGGGAAAAACTGAGAGCCAAAGGGCCCGCACGCTCTCACCTATTGGACAAAACTACTACCTACTGCTTTCCCATTGGTCAAAGTGAAATCTCGAGACACTTCAGTTGTTTAACCAGGCGATATTAAACCGGAAATGTTGATGTGGACGAAAAGGAAGGTGGAAGTACGGTTGTCATGGTGATGACTGCCGCGGAACCACAGAGACCAAAAGCGAATGGAGCTGCACGAGGCTTGCTTGCTTTCTTTTTTTCCCTTTCCACGCCCCCTCCACGTATCCCAGCTCCCCAGTTCTGCACATGCGTACTTGTGGCTCCAACCGAATCTTCTCTCGAGTCGTTTGCTTCCCATTATCCTTGATACATTGTATATACCAAGGGAGTCAAATGGTTGCTGCTTTTCTTTTCGCTGGTCCCCGTTGAAAGCGTAGCCAATCAGGGCTGCGCTATTTCTACATTCTTCTCCACCCCTAGATTCTGCACAGAATTTTTTTCCCCTTAAGGAGATGCGTGTAGAATTATCACCACCATTCCGTCAAAAGCCAAAGTTCGTAACGAAAAATGGAACAAACTACTAAACATTTCCTTCAAATCCCTCTCTTGGGGTTCTACTGATTTATGAAGATGACGCATTTCTGCCATTTTCTAAGCTAATAGCTGCTTACAATTTCGCAAAGTCTGCTGAATATTAGTATTTACACAATATTTATTTATATCCAAATATGTCCTTACAACTTTGAGCATTTTGGCATCTTCCCCAATTTTGGTCATTGAATCAGTGCAGAAAAAGAAACCCTTAACCTTTATTTATAATCATTTAATGCTGGTCAATAATTATCATATACAAGGCTGGAGACAAGTATGGAAAGAAAAATAGAATTCTATTTTGTATTTTATACCCACTATAACTATAGATCTAAGGCTATGGCTTATCCAGCAGAAAATTGCATTCTACCTGGAGTGAGTGGGCATCTCAACATCTTTTTGCAAAATGTGGAAATATGTCTGCTAATTGTAGGTAATTCAGTACATACCTTCCACTCATTAAACACATGATCTGGCTGTGTCATAGTTGCTATCTGGGAGCATGTTATTGTGCGTATTAATATTGGATTGGATTTTTTTAGATGGACATATTTTGTTAAACTATGTGCCTATCTCATGGAAATTAGCCAGCAGTCAAAGAAAATGGATTATTTCTACTCTTGTGATGACTAAAGAACAGAGAGTGCAACACCCAAATGCCCAGTCTCTATTAATCAGTGGGTTGAGGACCTTTTATCTCTTTCCACATTTCAACACATGGCATATTGAAATTGCACATGGAGTGATGCCTAAATATATGGTCACTTTTCACAAATGCTTGTGCCTCAATTCCATTTTCTTCAAAGGAAAATACTGAAACTTTTAAAATGAAACTGTCATCATTTTTTTCTTGGTCCTCTCCCTGCTTTTTTAATGGCTAATCTACCAATATTTTTTTTGCATTATGCAGTAACAAACTAGCAGACAGAGAAATATTTACATACAAAACTATAATGTGGCACCAGAACCCAAACAAATACATTAGACCAATTATATTAAAGAAATGTTTTGCAGATGGAGATCAGATTTTTTAAATTGGAAAACAAATCACCAGAGTACTTATATGTAACAGATAACTGGTCAAAGCTTTGTTATTTTTGACATATTTCATGTCAGATTACTTGTGTAATACAGTGTGTGCCATACCAAACTCACTGGGGGGGGGGGTAATTGTTGATATTACCACCGGGTTGTGTGATGTTGTCATAAGAGTTTAGAGGAGATTAGCTTTCTTAAAGTTTTGATTTGAGCTGTGGTCTGTCAAATTCATATACCATATTACTACATGATAGATACGGTAGATAAAATTGAAACAAATTCTGCCTGTTCATAAACATTCTAAGTTTCTTGAACAGACATTTCCCTTGCTTTATGGTTAACCTGAAACTGAGGTGATTTTAAAAGTTAGTTTGAAATGTTGCTTGAAGGGGTCTCATGTTCAAATAAAAAAAGGAAAAATATCCCATTCGGTATGCCCAAACCCATGTAAACACTTTCAAGTAGTTCTTTGGATCGTGGTCATTATTTATATCGCATAATTTGTACTAAAAAAATACACTTTTAAAAAACAAAATACCATCTTTATATAACAAACACAAAAGAAAAAAACATACTGTAGCAACTTTTACCAATATAACTATAATTTTAAAATTTCTTGGTTACTCAGGATTTGCAAGGTGACAGTGTGTGATTGGATAAACTGTGGGACATGATCTCTATCCCTTCCAATATTCAGTTATATTCTCTTGTCTTATACCATTATGAATCTCCTTTTCCCCACAGAAGTATGCATGAAAGGAGTCTGATGTCTTTAACCAGTGACCCAACAGCTGCTTTCCCATTACCCAGTATTTTGATTCCTACCTTACCCCGACCCCCTGTGTCTCCTATTCCCTTGCCTTGTCCTGCCATTCTGTTTTGTTGGCCTGATACATAAGCAGCAGACTTGCAGTCCCCAAGGAGTAATGGCATGATGGAAATGAGAGAGAAACTGAAAGGCAGAATTGCACAGATTTACAGTGCTCCCAAGGCTTTCATTAAAATCCTTGACAACTTGTAATTGATGAGAGGGTCTTCACAATTCACTAATAGCCCCAGATCCAGGAATTATCCTACTCCTATGATGCTGTTTTTGTAAAGGGTAGAAAAATAAACATGGATAGAGATAGCAGCTAACGTTGCTATCCTGTTTCCCCAAAAATAAGACCTAACCTGAAAATAAGCCCTGATATGATTTTCCAGGATGGTCGTAATATAAGCCCTCCTCCCCCCCGCAAAATAAGCCCCAGTTAAGTGAAACCCCACCCTCCACCATTGTGGAGCATTGTGCAGCAACCAGAAGATGTCATGACTGTATTTGAGTAAATGTAGATGGTTGTACATGAAAAAAAATTAAAACATCCCCTTAAAATAAGCCCCAATGTGGTTTTAGAGCAAAGATTAATAGAAGACCCTGTCTTATTTTCAGGGAAACACAGTAGTGAAATGTAAGAAGAAACAGGAACCTGACCTGGCATCATGAACAAACTTTGTTTATGTAAGCTGTGTTTTTTGTCTGATTGATTAAAAAACTTTAGTTTCAATGAAAAACCTCATTTTTCTTTATAAGAATCATTGGCACCTTTAAGACTAACAGATTTAATACAGCTTTGGCTGTCATGGCTTGTAGTCCATTTCTTCAGACGCCATCTGATGTGAGGGGTTTTTTTGTTTTTGTTTTTGTTTGCAAAAACTGACAAAGATTTCCTTTCGAAAACATTAATGTTTAATCATTGTTTTAAAACTCTCCAACGATGTAGAATTCTACATTGTAGAATTTGCTAAATTGTTTGGCAAATTGGTGGAAGAAATATCAATAATTTAAGATATACAGATTACACAATCTTAGTGGCAGACAGCAATGACTTGAAACAACTTTTGGTGAAAGTGAAGGAAGAAAGTGCCAAAGCAGGACCACAGTTAAATACGAAGACAACAAAAATAATGATTACAGAAGAACTACACAGCTTTAATGTTGACAATGAAGAAATTGAAATTAACAATTTCAATAGACTTGGTTCAATCATCAATCCAAATGAAGACTGCAGCTAAGAAAGAAGACTGAGACTAGGAAGGATTAGCAATGAAAGAATTAGAAAATATAATCTAGTGTAAGAATTTGGCACTTGAGACAAAGATCAAGATACTTCACACTCTTGTATTACCTATAGAAATATCAATAATTTAAGATATACAGATTACACAATCTTAGTGGCAGACAGCAATGACTTGAAACAACTTTTGGTGAAAGTGAAGGAAGAAAGTGCCAAAGCAGGACCACAGTTGAATATGAAGACCAAATGAAGCCTGAACTATCTCTGGAGGCAAAAATGTTGAAACTGAGGCTGTCCTACTTTGGGCACATCATGATTTTAAGGGAAAGACAATAATGCTAGGAAAGGTGGAAGGCAACAAGAATAGCAGAAGAACAAATACTAGATGGAATGATTCCCCAAAATGATTTTAAGGGAAAGACAATAATGCTAGGAAAAGTGGAAGGCAACAAGAATAGCGGAAGAACAAATACTAGATGAATGACTCCCTAAAAGAACTACAGGCTTGAGTCTACAAGAGCTGAGCAGGGCTGTTGAGGACAGGACATTCTGGAGATTGCTTGTTCACAGCCATAAATTGGAAGCGACTTGACAGCACATAACAACATCAAAACAATGCAAAGACGAATGCAGAATTCCACCAAACAGGATCTCTCTCATAACAAATATGCTGCAATATGGGAACATATTTTTTCTGCTCCTAATGTGTAGAATTATGCAAGTAGAACTCTGTCCATGTTTTGTAATACTAGAATGACTGAAAAGTGGTTAATATTAAGGCATCTGTGACAATCTTACCCAATATTATTGTTTTTCAATAATGTAAGACACATTGGTCCTTTTAAAGGACAGCATTTATTACAAATGGAAGTTAGCAGAGAAATATTTAACTTCCTTGTTCCAAAACAGTTACTGCAAAGGACATATGTTAAGAGCTAGAAATAAATGTCATAGTCTTTGTTCTCATACTCTTCACCAAATTCCTTAAATAAATGTTCCCTTATTTCATCTTCTTTCTCCTAATTAACTCCTAAAAAATTCAGGATCTGTCCTTCCAGTGGGCACTCAGGGTTGAAATTAACTAGTAAACGTTAACATTTGCCAAGCCAGGCTACATCTTCTAACAGAAATGAACTACTTTTTTAGCATTTAGTTGAATATATTTTTAAGGATAAATCATTGTTTTATTGCATGGATACCAAGAAAATGCCAATAGACATGAGTAAAGAATAATATTTTATTTATAGCAATACAAGAATAATTGAGGAGCAGAAATAAAACAAAAGAAATGAATGCTAAGATAAATGCTTACTTGTAAGTAGATATGCTCCTGGATGTGTATAGTGACTTGTTTTCTAAAATGCCAATATGAGTATGACAGGAATGGGGAATGTATCACCTTCAGTATGTTGCTCATTGGAGTTCATCAGAGTCACAGGTTCTCTATCCTGATTAACCAGTCAGCAAAACTATCCACATTTATGACATCAACCATTTTATATAACTCACTCCCCAGTTCTTGAGGTGTTCTGGCTTAGCTTCCTTGGGAAGAAAGCAATGGGTTATTATAGTATTTTGTATCAAATTAATTTTCATATGCAGAAGAAGATCATATATCAAGGTAAGCAGCAAGCACATTCCATCCTACATGGCATTAGAATTGCAGCTTGGTCTGAGATCCCTAGAGAAAGACACCCTGAACTTCAAGGTGCTTCCAACCTTCATACAGTTTTCTTTCACCAAAACTGCATAACAACAATGATTTTCTATTGCCTTCTCTCATAGTCTACCAATCAAGTTACTGAGTCAGTGTTCTACCTCTTAGCTCATAGCCAGACATATGCTGGTATCTCCCATTAGGAAACATCAACCATCCTAATGTGATCTTCAATAGCCATTTGTCTCATCCCAAATTCTGCAGGAGAGAAGAAAGGGATTATTCCATCACCTGTGCTGAGAGGCCACTTATTTTTGGCTGTCTCACTGAATGAGGCAGCCATTATCCCAAGCAGCTGTTTCAATCAAGCAGCTGCTTCAATCAGTTATGATAACAGCAGTACTATTAGAATATATTGTAATAGTTGTGATCAGAATTCTTGTTTTAAGAAATAGTGCCTGAATTTGCATTTTTCCTCCTCCTCCCCAGACCTTTCTCATGTGCTACAAATTTTAGAATTACAATGTTAAACACACAGCAGTGAATAAAAATGGCTCATAAGCAGATAGTGTATCTGTTACCTGTTTTAATTTTTGCACTTAATCTCTCCCAGTTAAACTCAACTGAATAGCCTGCCCTAGCCTAGTAATTTAAGATGTATTGCATTACAAGCTGCATTATCTTTAGCAGCAGGGTCATTTGTATTGGGGATGAGGAGAACTGTATTTGAACACAGCTGGAGGGTACTAGATTGGAGGAGATTAGAGTTGAGGTTCTGGCTGTTACTGTATGAGATTAAGCAGCAGTGAAAGGTAAATCTGGATGGGGAAAGTGTTTGGAAGATAATCTAATCTAGAGAAGGTTGATTTTGGAGTTTCATGCTTGTGGCTCAAACTCCATGGTTCATATCAATGTGTCACCTTGGGTATGTTTCTTATTGCTCAGTCTCTAAAATTTGCCTTTTGCAAAATGGATGCTTCAGTTATAAGTGTGGATGCATAGTTGTGTTTTGGGGCTGACATCACATATTTACCCCCTCTACTACATTCATAATCTTGGACAAGCCAGTATTTTATTTATTTAGTTGAATATATTTATTTCTCAGCCTATACAACAACATAAATAATTCAAGATGGCTTATATGTCATAAAAGCAGTAAGCACAAAACCATAAATACTAACATGAAAAATAAAATAGCAACCAGCAGCAGAGCAAAACAGAAAATGACAAAGTACTCAATAAAATGAGCCAGCTAAAACTTTTAACATTCCAGAAGTAGGAGCCAATAAAACAGTAACACCCCGAGTTAAAATATCTAGGCATATAAAAACATTATCTAGCATCTAAAATGTGTAACAATGAGTGTCAGGATGGTGCATGAAGTTGGAGAGGGGGGCTAGCCCCTATCACTCTGGTTGTCAGTACTGAGGCCGTTGCCTTGAGTAGCAAGGTGCTAGAACCAGGGGATTCTGCTTCCCTCCACTAGAAGGGCCTCCTTCCTCTCTGCTGCTGTGATCTGCTCATTCACCCACCCATCATTTAAAGTAGCCTTTTACCCACAGCTGGCAGCACTTTTTTTTAACAACAAACAGAGGTGACAAAGCAGGGTGAGTGAGATGAGGCACAGAAGAAGATGTAGCAGCGCTGGCTGGGTGCAAAGAAGGAGCAGCAACGTTTCTTTTCCCACCTCAGGTGGCAGGAGGGCTTTAGCCACTGTAACAGAGAGACCTTTTCAAAGGTGAAGTGCCACCAGCAAAAAGGAGCTCCTTCTTGCCTCCAGCAACTTAACCCCATCAGTCAGCATTTGTGGGCAGCTGCTATGGCCCAGGCATCCTATTAGGTTTAAGATTTAACCCCAGTTCAGTAGTCTGAGCAATTTGAGAAGATGGATCTAGCTTTCCACCATATGTTCCACAGTGCCACTGGTGTGTGACACCCAGGCTACGGGTCAAGAGGCGTTGGTGGGAGTGCCATCTCACCCCAAGGCAACTGTAGGAACCCAGACCGCTCCGCGTCCCTTTCCTCCCAAGCTGATACATCAAGCTGACACCTCGGAGTGGGAAAAAGGGATGAAACGGTTATCTGTAGCTACCCAGACCCCACAGGATTTGGCGGGAAAAGAAGAAGGGAGGCGGGCCGTAGCGGAGGTGGGAATGGGGGATAAAAGGGGACCGGGACAGTATCCCGGGTGGCTGGGAGATGGTGTGGATGCAGGACCCATGGACTGGGGAGTGGGAGCAAGTGAGAGTACCTAAGCACGAGGCTGAGAGTCGCCGAAAGAAAGGACTACCCCAGCGCCCGTCTTATTGGGGTGAGTCAGAGACTCAAAAGTGGTGGCACAAGTTAAGAGAGGAAAAGGAAGCTGCTGAGAGGGAGAGAGAAGCTTTGAGGGGAAAAATGAGTCAAGCACATAGAAGGACCTTTGGATGCTTGAGAGAAGGTATGGGTAAGCTGAGGGAAGTTGTGGTGAATGTGGTCTATATAGGATAGGCAGAAGAGCAAAATGGTGCCATCCTACTGTTTTGGAGACATCAAACAACTGGAGAAGGAGATGGGAGGGAACAAGGAAGATCTTTTTCTTTTTTGTTACATTTTTTTATTCCACACACACACCCTTTTAAGGGAAGTGGGCCACTCAGACTCACGTAAGTTGTGATGTGGTTTCTTGACCTGAAACCACCCAATTCCTGTATGTGGATACAAGGATCATACCGCACATATATGCAAACTTAAGAGACCCTATTTAACCCAATCCAAAACACTCCAATTTGGCTAGCTAGTCACACCCTTACATTTACAGTGGGTTCTTTGAGGCACAATAAAAGTTCTTTCCGCCTTCTCCTGGTTATTCCTTGTTTCTCTTAAGATAGGAAGGGACTTAACTGCAATTCACATTTGCACTGTTTTGGGCTAATGTGTACACACACATATACTTCTTGAGCAAGTTGCCATTGCTGTTGCTTCCATATCATCTTGAAGATGCAGTGGCAGTGATGACAACTGTGGCAGCAGCTTCTGCACTGAGCCTCAACTTGGCCAGTGCTCTCTTCTAGCTGGCACTATAGTTTGCCTGCATGGCTGCTTGGACTAAGCACAGGTGGGGGAGAAAATAAGAAAGGGAAGAGGCACAGGTGAGAAGGGAAAACAGGCAAGGAAGTAAAGATGGATCCTTGCCATCCTAGCTACAAACCTGGAGCAAAATGAAACAAAAACAAAAAACAAAGCTAAATAAACCAACCAACCAACCACTATGCCTTCATAAGGGAACAGAAAGCTCACAAAGCCATGGGTTTTCTCAACATTTATCTAAGACAAACTTAATGTTATGTGGATGGCTGGAAACATAGATATCACCTGTGACAAGTCAAGCATATTTTGGGGAACGAATGCTTCATCAGAAAAGTCCTATATAACCTTAGGAGTAAGTACAACTGAATTCAGGTAACCTTCTGAGTAGATACATAAAATATCTAAATGTATTCAGAGGCTGCAGAGCTAAATGTATTTACATGACTATGACTCTGAGTTAAAAGGATTTACTTCTGAGTAGACAAGCCTTTGGATTGCGTTGTTAATAGAAGTACAGTATTTTTAAAATGGAACAAATCAATATTAATCAATTAATTTTATTTATTTAAAATATTTTCCCTGTCTTTCTCCTTTAAAAGGACCGAAGACAGCTTATATAATTAAAAGACAATATTTAAAGTTAAAAACAGTAAGTATCCAAATACATTTACTTCTGAGTAGACAAGCCTTTGGATTGCGTTGTTAATAGAAGTACAGTATTTTTAAAATGGAACAAATCAATATTAATCAATTAATTTTATTTATTTAAAATATTTTCCCTGTCTTTCTCCTTTAAAAGGACCGAAGACAGCTTATATAATTAAAAGACAATATTTAAAGTTAAAAACAGTAAGTATCCAAATACAAAAAAGGTTAGACAATATTTAAAGTTAAAACCAGTAAGTGTCCAAATACGAAAAAGGTTCAAACAAATAACACACTAAAAGACAGGGGACAAAAGCAACACCAAAAACATATTCAAGGCACAACCATCCATTTGAAAACACCACTCAGGCAGCCAGCCATTAAGGGAAAGCTTGCCTGAAGAGAAAGGTCTCTGCCTGCTTGTGGAAGGACAGCAAAGATGGAGCCATCCTGGCCTCCTGTGGGAGGGAGTTCCAATGTCTGAGAGGAGGGGCAGAGAAGGCTGCCTCTTATTTCCCCACCAAATACACCTGTGAGGTGGTGGGACATAGAGATGGACCAGGAAGGGGTACTCAAATAAGTAGGAGTGGTGAATGTGTCTTTGCAACAGGTTAGGATCTCAGCATAATTAAAGGGATTTAAATTTTGTTTTAAATCCCTTTAATTTGTTTTACTAGTTTTTAACCCATATTATGTACCTGTTGTTTCAATACTTATAAAAATAAATTATACATAAACACACACATATGCACAAAATAGTGGTTTCGATTCCATAAGAGCTGCTCTTTCTGTGATGATCCCCTACACATCAACAGCAAAGTGTCACCAACCTCAGGAGAGTATTGAGGCATATAGAGGTGTAAAGAAAAAAAGGCTTTGGGAAATTTAAAGCTGCGGGGAGAGGCTGACAATTGTTACAAGTTGGATAGAAGACCATCAGGGAGGAAAGAACAGAGCTTGAAAAGAAGTGAACAATGCTGCAATATTTTATTAAATACTCATACAGAGTCAAAAACAATTTCCCTCAGTAACACAAGTTCCTCCATGACTTGTACAGGCCTGAATTCTGCCTATTGGCTGAGCAAAGACAATGACATCAAACCCTCCAGTGTCAGAAAGTAAAGTGAGCAAAACCTCCAGCGTGTCCCTCGCCAGCGAGACAGGAAGGAAATCCCTTCACCACGCCTCCTAGAGCTGTGCATATAAACAGCAGCCGGCTGTGTATAAGAATGAAAGCAGCTGTTCCCTAGCATACAGTGTGCCTCTGCCGTAGAAAAGTGTGCACCATGGGGCTTCTACTCAGCCGGATTCAAGATGCTTTGCAGACTTTCTACGGGATGAATGCTCGTATTCTCCTGGTGGGCCTGGACGCAGCTGGCAAAACAACCCTCCTTTACAAGCTGAAGTTGAATGAAACGGTGACAACTATTCCCACCGTAGGCTTCAATGTGGAGACATTACAGCCCATCAAGAACATCACTTTCACCATGTGGGACGTGGGTGGTCAAGATCGGATCAGGACCCTGTGGAGACATTACTATACCAATACAGATGGGATCGTTTTCATGGTGGACAGCGTGGACTTTGAGCGGTTTGAGAAGGCCAGGTTGGAGCTGGAAGGAATCCTGGATGCCAGAGAGATGGAAGGAGTGCCTTTGTTGCTGCTAGCCAACAAACAAGATTTGCCTGGAGCATGGCCCCCCATGGAGGTGGCAGAAAAAATGAGACTAAGGGAGATGCGGTGGCACAGGTGGCACGTGCAAGGCTGCTGTGCTGTGAGTGGAGACGGCATCCCTGAAGCAATGGAGAAGCTCTCTGAGATGGTGAAGCAGTACCACAACGCCAAAGGCAAATAGTTAATTGAAAGGCCCAACACGTCCATCATACTGCATGAAGGACATGAGATACTCTTTTTCATCTATTACCTTTTCTGGCCCAGAGATTTTTTTCCCGAGGGTATTTGATCAGCAAGTGCCTCCAGGACTCTATTCTGTCTTGCTTGTCAACGGCAGTCGGGGAGAAGATTTATATACTGTATATCCTTTAGTGTTTGGATTGCCATTTGGATACAGCACAAGGTATACGGCTCTTCTGAACTCTTCTCAGCAATATCTTTATCCAATAAAGGGCATCACCCACTTTTACATTTGTGTAATCTTGGGGACCACATGGCTTTTTCCTTCTTCTCTATGGACTATATAAGACAGCATCATCTATAAGAAAACATCAACTCTCAACACCAGCCCTGTGGATTCTTCACATCAACCAGAGGTGACTGCAAATTGAAGAAATGTTTCCTTATGCTCGCCGGGTTAAAACATTAATTTGGCACAACTGGCTGCTTCTACCTGGTGAATAAACCAAATGATAACTTGTGCTAGAGGCTGCTATGTCCTTGTATTGTTTCCCCACCCCAACAGCCAAAAAGGAACTTTTTGTTTTGAAGCAGGCAATATGAGAGAGAGAGAGTGTGTGTGTGTGTGTGTAAAATCACAGAGCAATTGGCAGCCTTTTAGTCTTAAGTGTGGGGTAAATATTCCAACCATGATGCAAGGATGTTTGAGAGCAACATCTCAAGAGGACTGAGATCACATCTCACAGATATGAACCATCAATTTTTGGACTCTTGTCTACACATTTCCTTCAGTATCCATGGAGGTGCTGTGTTCTACCTGATAAAGTGGGGTTCCTCGATAAAAGCTTACAATTTGTTTAATTTTTAAAGTGGTCCAATAAAATAAATCACCCATTCTTACATTTTTGTAATCTTGGGGACTGCACTGCATTTTCCTTGTTCTCTCTTGTTTATTCAGGATTTAACCATTACAAGAAATATAGAAGCAAGCTAAGGGTTCCAGGCCCTCAAAACGTTAATAGTTAGATCTACCATAATCTTTGAACCACTTTGAAATACTAGATGTTGTTTTGTCCAGTGCCACTTATAATTTCATCAGGCTGTTTTGAGGATCTGATTCTTGCTTTATGTCACATTTACAAATTTCACAAGTAACAATAAAGACATTCTTTATAAAAATGGCTTGGTATCTTCCTCATAGTCTGGATTTAGCGTGTATTTATGCATTACCCCCTTTCCTCAAGCTACTGTAGAAATACGGTTAAAAGCTTTGTTTCCTTTTCATTTGGAAGTTCTAAAGGCTTACAATGCCCTCAGAAATAAAGAGCAGTCTTGCATTTACTCCCAGCTGACTTGACAGCACACAGTTATTATTACAGTGTATGTAAGAGAATGCCCATCGTCTAGCAACCAGCACCAGATAGTTTGTCCCTAGCGAGTTCAGTGCCTTCTTAAGCAGAGATTGAATGCCACATTAGAAAGATGACAGGGCTCCTGTACATTTAACAGTTGTGACGAACTACACCTGCTGAAATTCCCCCCTTCCACAGAAGTATTAAACGTTTCTGTTTATGAGGCCACCCCATCAGATAGCTGGATAGTTTCCTCTTCTTCAAAGGCCAATATAATGGTGGTAACAGAGGCCTGCATTAAGGTAAGAAACAATCCTCTTGAGATGACTTGAGGTCTCTATGTAGGACTGGTCTCCCCCAGTTGCCCACGCCAGGGTACTTGCCTTCATCTGCCCCTCTTTCTCCCGATTCTTCTTCTGGCCCCTCCTGGTGTCAGCAAACTCTGTCGGGCATCCTTGCCATGGGGGGGACTCCCCTCCCCCGCCGCACCGCTGGAAAACAACACACACACCCCAGTCGTTCACAACTCTTTCTCTTTCCCTGCAGCGGCGCTCCTTCTACTCTCGTTCAGATTCCCCTTTAGGGGCCTTGGGCTGAACGGACACTCTTCTGCCCGGGGGTCTACGTCAGCGACCCCTGCCCAGCCTTCCCTCACTCGGGCCTTGCCTCCCTTTCCTCCACTCCCAAGCAAACAGCTTCCTCCTCCTTCCCCGTGTTAGATGGTACTTCTACTTCTGCCTCCCTCCCCTCTCCTCCTTTTCGCCCCAATTCCTCCCTTGCCTGACTCCAGGCCCGTTAACCGTTTGTCTCCCACTACGGGTTGGCAGGACGTTCCCTGTGAGACCGTCTCTCTGGGAGAATTTCCACCCTGACCCTTCTCCCTCTCTCACTCCGTGAGCTGTCAGGACTTTTATCAGGCCAACTAAAAAGGTACAATAACATGCTGGGTAAAATCAGCAGCTTTGGTTTGCTGACATACTTGTTGTGCCTTTTGGTAGAACAGAGAAGTTACACAATCGTTGCCATCTTTTGTTATGGCTAAGAGAATAATCTTTGCTAAATTATTCCACCTAAATGTTTTACACTTAAAAAACTGAACAAGGTGCGTGAGAAACCAGCCATGACTTTCAGCTTGCCAGGGGCTGGAAACAACAGCTGCATGCCAGTGCCATACAGTTGTGTGACTGCAATTCAGTGGGGGACCCTGTGGCAGTGTGAGTGGTGGAGTCGAGTGTCAGCTTCCACCCTTAGCTTCTGCATAGGGGATGGGAGAGCACCCTCTCATTGTTTACTCCAGGCAGCTCACTGTCCTGGCCTGCAGAATTAAGTGCTACATATTACCAATCTGGTGCTGCCCCATGAAGTTGATCACATACCCATAGGTACCTGTTTGTCTTCTTTCTAAATGACTAGTTAAAAATCCTAACAGGACGAGTTAGGGAAGAACTCAGGGAGGGCTTCAAATGAGACAACAAACAAGTGTCTATTTATTTATAATTATTTATGGTGGTCAACCAATGCAACTTCACATTTTCTGCATAGTAGGACATTCTGGCATACAATCCTTTTAAAAGCACTTTAAAAAAATCAAATTAGATGTCCCTGCCTACAGCATCAGGTATTTATCAGTAATCAATACACAGTGTAATACCTTTTACTTAGTTGACCAGTGTTACAGCTTTTGGTCTTGCATAAGAAAATACGTTACCAGAATCAAATGAAAATGGTTACAAAAATAGTATTATTCAAAAACAGTGCAAGATTTCTATATTCCTATACAGTTCTACTCTTCATAAATATGTGCTGAAGATGTATTCTTTAAAATTAGAGAATCAAAATTTGGATCAGGCTTTGCAAGTTCTAAAGCAGCAATGAAACCACACAGATTATATTAAAAGATCCTGAGTTACTTATTAGCATTGGGTAGCTATGAATAAAATAAAAGGGATGGGTCCAATTTTCCCCCTTTTCTTTTGGGGTTTTGACAAACAAATTGGTTCAAGACTCTGAGCCTTTCATTCCATACCACTCAACCCAAGAGCACTGCAAGCAGTCCAGGAAACTGCTATATCTTTAAATATGGGGAAAGAACACAATGGCAAGCAACCTGAATGTAGGTGTTACCTATGAATGTACCCTTTATTAGCAGAATTCCATACCTTAATGTGTAGACTGTAGCTCCTAAGGTGACCTCCAATGTAGCTCCTAGACTGTAGCTCCTAAGGTATCCCCCAATGGCTATCCTAGTTGGGGCTGATAGGAACTGCAGTCTAACAACATTCACTTGCAAGGATCAACCACACTGCACCTCAAGCAACTCTGTTTAACATAATCTAGACCAATCATCTTTGCCTTTAAAGGGAGAGGAAACAAAAACAATGGGTGGGGGGAAATCCTCTTTTTACCTCCATGTTCTGCCAAAGCAGCTTATTGAGAAATGGAAAGCTTCCTTGCCAGTCACCTGCAGAGGCAAAGAGAGAGGACATTCTGCATTTCTTAATTATTGCTAACTGATGCAACCCATCAGCAGTGCTTTGAAAGCTTTTTAAAATGCCCTTCCAAAGCATTGGTGATTAGTTAGCAACAATTTAAAAGAAATGCAAACCTTTCTTTCCTGTCCCCTCTGCAGGTAAGTGGCCTGTTTCTTAATACTGTTAAGCAGCTTCAGCAAAGGGACAGCCAGCCAGCTATTTTGGTTCAATCCTAGCAATCAGACACAGTATCCAAACCAATAGAGAACAATCTGCACGGGGGGGGGGGCGGGGGGGGGGAAATAGCCCTAAGGGACCCAAAAAGGTGCTGGTAGTCATCAGTTGGGGATGGCTGGCATTTACATCATGGGATCACTGGAAAAAAGGAGTGAACCAGCCCATCCTCAGCCTGGACCAAACTGGGGGACAAAGGTCCACTTTATCACACCCTAACATAAATTTCCCCATCCCATTCCTACTCCTACCTTCCCATGGAAGACAGAGGTAGTGCCAGAGTCTTTGAGATGCCACTCCTAAATGTATTCATTCAAAAATAAACTTATTTAAATCAATGGGACTCTATTCTAAATTAACGTATTCTAAGATCAGCATTTTACTGTGAGATGTACAAGGATTAGGGTCTTTCTAAAAAAATAAAAACATCAGAATTCATTATATTTCTGTAAAAATTTACTTCACACTCACTTCCCATTCAGGTCTCAGAATCATCTTCCTGGAAAGCATCTGTTTACTAGGGCAGTAACATCAGTGAAATGTTCTTTTTTTGGCAAAGTGGATTTTTTTTCTGAAAATTTTCAGTTAGGTAGCTTGCTTCTGCTCATTTGCTAACAGCTTATGTTTAGACCAGCCTTCCTGAATCTTTGTGCTGCATTCTACCTTCCATTATCCCTAGCAGGATGGGCAGTGTGGCCTAACACACTCCTAGAAAGAACAAGATTGATGAAAGACTTCTGTCAAGTCAAGGTCCATGCCTCTTTTTGTCTGATCGCCTCCTCTAGAAGCACCATGACCAAGATCTGGTGCAGCACAGATGAGTGTACAGACATAGTGGCTGAAATTCTAACATGAACATAGCTGAAAAACAAAAGTGCATAATTTCTGTACTTTATACAGATAAATTATATTTTAAAAAAACAAGCAGCTTATGTTTTAAAAATATCTGCGTATTACAAACTTAGTAGAAGATGAAAAGGATAATTCAATAAAATACATTGGTGTGGAAAAATACCACCTGTTTGAAATAACCTGTAGCAAGATTTAAGTTATCGAAGGAGATACTTAACCGAGAAGGAGATATCCTGTTCCACAGCAAAACACAGTGTACATTTTATTGGTCACATAATGGAAGGGAAGAACTGATCAATGTTGCAGTCCCAATAGGTTTCAGGCTGTCAGGTAAAGTGTAGCAACTACAGAAATCATTCTCTGCCACTGCCTGCATGATCATACAACAAAATAAGGGGGGATGGGTAAGCAAGAAAAAGAAGGGTTTTCCCTCATGGCTAAAGGCTTAAGCAGGCTCAAGTTTAGTTTAAGTCAGGGATCTCCAAACTATGGCCCGTGGGCCACTTTCAGCCTGTGCACACGGGTGGGCGTGTGTGTGTGTGCGCATGCGTAGGCAGGCACATGTGCAAGCAGGGGTGGGTGCAGGCAGGGGTCCATGCAGAGGGGTGCAGGCAGGCGGCTACACATATGCACATGGCTAAAGGCTTAAGCAGGCTCAAGTTTAGTTTAAGTCAGGGATCTCCAAACTATGGCCCGTGGGCCACTTTCAGCCTGTGCACACGGGTGGGCGTGTGTGTGTGTGCGCATGCGTAGGCAGGCACATGTGCAAGCAGGGGTGGGTGCAGGCAGGGGTCCATGCAGAGGGGTGCAGGCAGGCGGCTACACATATGCACGCGTTCCTGGGATCTCCAAACTACGGCCCGTGGGCCACTTTCAGCCTGTGCATACGGGTGGGCGTGTGTGTGTGTGTGTGCACATGCGTAGGCGGGCACATGTGCAGGCAGGGGTCCATGCAGGGGTGTGTGGGCAGGCGGCTACACATATGCGCGCGTTCCTTCAACCCTCACACATGTGGAAAATATACAATGCAGCCTTCATGCTCAAAAGTTTGGAGACCCCTGGTTTAAGTTATGGCAGTAGATGTGGTCATCATACACTTGCTGGTTAGATCTGTCAAAGGTCTCTGTGCAGAAGGGGCACTCCAGAATATGGCTGCTCACATGATCCTCAAACTGCTGCTCTCCGATGTCAATAGAGAAGACTTCATTGCACATAGGACATTTTTTCAAAGAGTCCTGAAGGCAGGAGAACTTGAAAACAGAAAGAAAAAGAGAATATCTGTTTCAGGACTGTACAATTCCCACTTATGGTAGAACAAATAAAATATTTTTTGCAGCATCCCAGCGAGGGTCAAACGATTCATAGTACTGTATATTCCTCAGATATCACTCGTGGCAGAATCTAACATTTTTTCAAAGAGTCCTGAAGGCAGGATAACTTGAAAACAGAAAGAAAAAGAGAATTTATGTTTCAGGACTGTACAATTCCCACTTACGGTAGAACAAATAAAATATTTTTTGGCAGCATCCCAGCGAGGGTCAAACAATTCATAGTAGTGTATATTCCTCAGCTATCACTCGTGGCAGAGTCTTCAACTCCTTTCAGCTCTGAGACTGGTCCCAATCAGCTTCAGAGTAGATAAGATGTTTAATAGGGGTAAATAGGAGATGTGATTTATAGACTGTAGTGATTATATTAACTGATTATAGATAGTGTCATGATTGCAAAGTCTTGGAGGTTTGAATGGACATTTCAGTAGTCTCTGGACTTCCAAGGAAATGTCTCTTGAAGAATCAGCCTGTTTTTCTGTACTATTACCTTCTGTAAGATTCTGCTGTTGTGGCAGAGTCTTCAACTCCTTTCAGCTCTGAGACTGGTCCCAATCAGCTTCAAAGTAGATAAGATGTTTAATAGGGGTAGATAGGGGATGTGATTTATAGACTTTAGTGATTATATTAACTGATTATAGATAGTGTTATGATTGCAAAGTCTTGGAGGTTTGGACATTTCAGTAGTCTGGACTTCCAAGGAAATGTCTCTTGAAGAATCAGCCTGTTTTTCTGTACTATTGCCTTCTGTAAGATTCTGCTATTATTGCTATTACATTTTTCCAGGCGCAATTTCTCATGCTCACTCAAAGACACCAAATATATTTTGAAAATACACAGAAAGAAAATGTAACCTTTTTTTGATTATTATAGCAATTGTCAAAAGCAGTTTACAGTTTCCTTACTGTACTGGCCCCCAAGCCCCAAAAGCTCAAGGCTGCATTTATTTTCTACAATGACAGAATCAGGGTCTGAACTTGGAAACCTTGCAAATGTTTCCCTGCTGTACAGTTCTCTCACTAAATTCTAACTTTGGCTTAACGCACCGTAAATGCCTTGCAAGAGAACAGCAGCATGAACTAAACTGTAATTGAACCCAAATATGTGCCAGTAGAGTAAAATTCCCTGAGTTCTACATTGTGGATCCTGGGTCTTACAGTTTTTGAAAAGCTGACTTTTCCAAGCTCTAGCAACGCAATAATCACATATCCTTCCCCATTTATCTTTGTTTCCTTTCATTCACCTTCCTTTCTTGTCTGTATCATGTCATTTTGATCTGGGAAGCTGGGGTCTTTCCACTTGGCTTGTGGATATAGCACCAAATACATGGATGATGCTATGTTAAGTAATAATAATGGAACAAAAGCGCCAGCAATCAAATTACACACACACACACACACACACACACACAGACACACACACACTGTTCTTACCAAATCTGTTGCAGGAATTTCTGTAGGTGCTGCAAAATAAAGAAGTTATTTTAACTGTGACTAGAGAAACATTCAACAATGGAATATTAGGAAAGAAAATGAAAATACAGATAGTGAAGACTTGGGATGAATTCAGCTGAACATGGACTACAGCCCATTTTAGGGCTTACTCCGTGGCTGTAATCACTCACAGACTCTTGGTTTCATATCATCATTGCATCTCTTCAGTGACATCTAGCAGAACTCTGCCAGATAGCAGGAATGCCCTTTACAACCTGGCTGAGGTACAGAGATGATACAGTCATTGATAGACTACTTATCATTTCATATGATACTCTGCAGATAAAATTGCTTGCAATGGGTTTTCCATATAATACATGCCTTTTTAAAACAGATTTTTACTGCAGTGAACCCATAAAAAAACAAAAATGATCACCCCAGTAATTGGCATTCTTTCATTATTTACTGTTGAAAATTAGCATTTAGATAATCAAAATCTCCTGTTTCTACTTTTTCTAGCATCTAAAATACCATCACTAATTGGAAACAGGTAATATTATCTTACAATATCTGGATGGTTGAAGTACAGTGGGGTCTTGACTTAAGAACGGCTTGAGTTAAGAACATTTTGACTTAAGAACCGCTCTCATAGGAAAATATTGACTTGACTTAAGTACTTAGATTTGAGTTAAGAACTGAAAAAAACCACATGGGAGGCAGAGAAACTGCAAAATGTGAACTTTCAGTTAACTGTTGGCCAGTGAAAAGGGTGCCTGTCTGCTTCCTCACTCCTCCCAGCGTTTAGAGAGTGGATTGGGAGACAGTCTTCGGACTGCCTGGTACTGCCTGGACTGTATTTTCCCTGCCTTCCCTGAACCTTTCTTGACCTAAGAAAAAAAGAAACAAAATATTCCCCTCTAGTGGTCGAAGGTGGAATAGCAGCTTCCCATTAGTTTCTATGGACGGAAAAGAGCAGATACGGGTCAAATGGTTCTCAATGCATTCCTATGGGAAATGCAGATTTGACTCGAGAACATTTTGACTTGAGAACCGCCTTCCAATACGGATTAAGTTCTCAAGTCAAGACCCCACTGTACAGTATCTAGCTGTTGCAGAAAAATTAACAACACAAGTTCATGCTAATCTCACAGTATACAACAGAAATAACTTTTTAGATGTCCCTTTATAATATACTGTATGTACGGGAGAGCTGTCCTATTCCTTCACCATCCACTCATGCTAATTTGTGGAATTGTTTTGAATATGGGGTGACTTCTGCACATTTTGTATGTATGTCTGTGTGTGGTTGTTTGTGGAAACGTATGATTTTTAAAAATTAAAGTTAAGAATGGCCCTTGAGAAGTATATGATTTTTTTAAAAAAATTAAAGCTAAACATATTTCTTAGCAAACTTTCCACAAAAAATACTCTAGTCATCCATCTCCAAGCAAAATGTACAGAGATTAAAAACAAACCAAAATACAGGTTATATGATAAGATTAAACATATGCTACCTATTTGTACTGCTACAAGTACAGTATTAGAATGTAACAGGTTTCAGCCCTCCTGCCATTCTATTTGTTAAAATGTTGGTTTCTTTTTTCTTTTTCTTCTAGATAAAGTTTGTTGTTCTAGAACTCTGATTGATTATACTCTACAATACATTATACAAGAAGCCATTCACTATTCTGGGTACTTTTCACATAAGATAGGACATAATTATATTTTTAGTACTGATCTTAAAATGTCAAAGTACAGCACAACAGAAGTAAAATGAATAAAAACTGAGCAATCCTACAAAGATTCCTGTGCATATGGGGGAACCACAGGGTGGCAATATGGCTTTTCCTTGTTAAATATCTCAACTGGTAACACAATCTTTACTTAATTAAATCCAAAGCTACTTAGAAGCTATTCCAACCTCATCAGATTTTAGACTACAATTCCCACATGTCTAGTGCATGTAGAGAATCCCAGGTTAAGAAGACTGGTTTATTAATTTGCTTCTATCCTGCCCAGTAGAATATTTACCCTGGACATTAAGATACAACACCATATGTTTTTAATCCGATTTGAACCTTCTAACTGGATGCTCACCAGAATATGGATTCCCAAACAAAAGGCCAGAATTTTCTGATGACTGGGTTAGGACCCCAGCAGGTACATCACCTATCATTTCGGGAAGGCATGCCATCAGTCCTTTGTTCTCCCGCATTAAATTCTGCAAAAAAATAATAATAGTAGATTGAGAAGTCAGCACATTTTAAAGCTGTCTGGCTTAGAGTTCCATCTGTAATATAGAAACAAAGTAATGGAACCTCGTGGTGCAGTGGTTAAACTGC